AAAAAAATTTTCTTCCCAACCCGCATGCGGGTTGGGACTAAGGTGCCCATTTCCCTACCCTACCCGACCCGAATGCAACTCTAGGCAGGTTGGGTCCTTTTTCCTTTCGCAGTTTAGTAGAGCGCAGGCGATAATGCGCCTGGGTAGCGGGGGCAATTCTTTTCTTGATGCCCGTGGTGCTCATTGTGTCGCCGATCTGCCGTCAGTGCTTTGACGAAGAATTGCAATGCAGTGTCAGTGCGGAGATGTATCTCTGATGGGTCACGTGCAGCATAATCAGATAGTGGGCTCCGGTCGCAGTGAATGGGCGGACTTCCGATCCCCCATCAAAAAAATCGGCCGCTTTCCATCATGAATATCTCACCCAAAATAAGCCTGTGCATGCTCTAAAGTGAATGGGGGGTAAATAACCTATGTAATTATAACTTGTCAAATTTTGAGACTGATTGGAGTTGATTAGAGCATTCGACTCGGGGTGATTGGATTGCATTCGACTCGGGGTACTCTCCGCAATTTTCTCCCATAGTAAAGTGCCAAGACTCGATTCGACTCTCCGTCAGTCGAATGCCCCCCGTTGGATAGGGTCAGTAAAAAACCGTAACCCAGGGGTATCCCCACTTTTTTCTTCCATACTTAAGAGCCCGACCCTAATTCGGATCAGCCTGATCCCTAATACCCCCGTAGGATAGGGTACAGGATACAAAGCCGCATAGCGGACTTATGCATGTACATAATGCGCACGTGCGGTTACTAAGCACCCGCACGTCACATGACCGCGACATAAAGTCTTAACCCCGCTGATGGCCGGAGACATCAGCGATTAGTACCGTGAATACTACGCATATACCTTCCATAACGCTCACTGCGCTATCTATAGATCTTCTCTCACAACTGCAAGAGTTGTTCCCCCTCATTGTCAACACCAGAAGATGTAGGAAGTATCAAGGATTTCAAGATAGTTTTAAAAAATTTCAAGGCATTCTTACCGCGGTTAAAAATTATCATCATGACCAAAATTCATTGGGGTGTAACATGATTCTTCATAATATAATAGGGTAACTTGCAACCATAGGAGCACAGCGTACAGAGTAAAGATGTAATCATTACACAGTATAGATACCATACAGTACTATATGTTTGGCCCTGTAATGGGGCTTAACGGGGCCCTGGGACACCCCCAAACCCCGCTGTCCCAACTCAGCCCGCCCTAACGGGGCGCCCCAAAAATCAGCGGGACGGGCATCTCTGCCCCAAACCCAGGGCGGGGTCACGGGGCCGTCCGTGACACTCTAGTCCGTCGTATGTCCCGCACCGGGACCAGAGCCTCACCGCTTCCGCGGAAGGACTCGCCCCCGACGTAAAATAGACACACACACACACACACTACTACTACGGATCGTTCCCGGGCGGCTTCTATCATCTTGCATCGAGCTTGTAAACATTGAAATAGGATCAGAGGCAATCAAGCTGGACAGAATGTCGATAACTCTTGACAAAAGTCATGTCGGTGAGTTGGGGGTTCCCCAATTTCCCCAATATTAGTAATCTCCTAATATTCTAACATTCAAGGTTCCAAGGTCCAACGTTTGAGTATTTGAAAACTCGCACATGAAGTGCATCATGCACTGTGCCTTGTTACGCTCAGATTGGACATCAAAAGAAACAAGGCTTTGAACTTGTTTCGATTGTGTCTCCACAACCGCTCGGCGGACCTGGAAACCCTATTCAAAAAGATGTCCGTGAAAGGGTTTGAATTCGGATCTGTCGCCCATTGTAGTAAAATTCCGTATTGTAAGATCTGTTACTGGCTTTTTACAAGATGACATGTCTTCGTAGTCTGGAACAGTCCGCTCATCCCCTCATCGAAGGTAGAACTTGGGAGCGAGAGCTTCAATTTCTAATATAGTGGATACCAGCGAGTTGCATTTCCCCAATCCTCACCAAGATTACCCTCACATCATCCCAGTCTCCAACCTTAACTTGGTGGATCACCATAGAAGTCACGAACCACCAAACCCTGCTCCGGTAATCCGCTATTCTTGATTACAGTTGCATTGGGTTTTGAGGGCCGAAAGTAGCTGGTGGCTGGAGCCATGGATTTTCTAAGGGTAACTATTGGTATATGTTCCATCTCTAGGATATTCACCTCCACCTTGGCCTCAACCTAAACCTGTGCCTCGCACTGACTTAGATAAAGGAACAACCTTACACCTAGTTGGTAGCCTGCTTATACCTATCCCCGTACGCCTGGTACCACAGATCAACAAGCTGCTTGCCAGCCCCAGTTGTAATCATTTCCTCCCCGTTCTCCATCTGTTTTGAAACCGCAGCCATGAACTCATACACACTGAGAACACTACCGTTGTTGGTCTTTTTGTTGTCATCGGGATCATCCCGTTCACGGTGCAGATCAGACTCGACAGCTGGGGGGGCGATTTCGATGACCTTGATCGTTTTTCCTAAACCAGAATATTCGATTTGAGTACGCAGATTCATCGTCCAGAAATGCACCCAAGCCTTGGTGGCATTATAGACTGGATTGATCACGGAGTATGGCATGAACCCCAGTGCGGATGATAGATTGATAACCGTCGCCGCCTGCTTCGATCGAAAATGCTCGAAGAGTCCTAGAGTGAGATGTATTGGGCCGCGGATGTTGATATCGATTTCTTGGTCGGCTTTCTCAAGAAATTCGGGTGCTGGCATCTCAGAGACTTGGAGAGGACGTTGAACGCCAGCGTTGTTGACCAGACAGTCTAGATCAGGATGCTCACGCGTGACTTTTGAGACGAATTTCGGGATTGAGTCGATGTCACCAGTGTCGAGTGTATAGAAGGCGGCTGCACCAATCTCACGTGTTGTACTTTCCAACTTTGAACGAGTTCGACCGGCTATAATGACTTTTATTCCTTTGGAAATGAGATAGGCAGAAAAGGCCTTGCCAATTCCTCCACCCCCACCTGTGACAAGAGCACAAGAGATTGAAGGAGCCGCAGGAGCCATTTTTGGTAGGCTGGAGCTGAAGTTATCCTCAATGCAAATAGATATATGGCACGACTGTGCTAGGCCGTGTTATCTTATATCTTTGTGAGACACGCATCGTTGAAACCGCATCGAACAAGGGTCAGGAATACTTATTCGTGACGTCAGCTAGATATTTGCATCCCCAAAGACCCACAAACCCTAAACGCATATTCTCCTCATATAGTAGCATATATTCTCCTCATATAGTAGCATCTATTCTCCTCCTCATATAGTAGCATCTATTCTCCTCCTCATATAGTAGCATCTATTCTCCTCATATAGTAGCATCATTTCCCCTCAGATCTGCAACCCCGAACTAGCTTCGACAAAGTCGAACGTCATAGCGAGACATTCAACAACATGCGACCTTTTTTCGGGTTATATACGCGACCAATGATCGATACATTGTGATTCGCCAGGTTCTCCCTTTTTTCACCACATCCATATCTCTATTTCTACTTGTTATATTACCAAGCTACTTATGGAACAACCCCATCCCCTACTTTCTCCTAATAATGATCGAAACAATTCGAGAGACCGCCTTTGGTAAATTGATGCGCATGATCAGCCACAATCGAATATTACAATACCCAGAAGAGATCGACCCCGAGACCTGCAGTCGTTATGTCCTGTCCGAGACGAATCTCGAGAATTTGGAATCCAATACTCATGGTGAACCTGGCGAAGAATGGGGGCTCTTTACCGTCATGTCCCAGGCCTCACGGCGGCCCAGCGCAACAGAACCAGCACCAGCCGAAAAATTAAGCAGCGCCTTGGTATCAAATATCGCAATTGGCTGGTCTTCAAACGATACCCAGGTACTTCTACCCAAGCAATCGAAAAGCTAGAAGAGAGTGAAATGCTGATTCTCTCACAGAACCCTCAAAATTGGTCGACTGGAAAAAAGCTCTTTGTCAGTTCGCAAGTATGGCTCTTGACTTTCGCCATATATATCGGTTCCGCCATTTACTCGCCGGGCATTCCACAAGTGAGCGAGCAGTTTGGAGTTTCCAGTGTTGCTGCTACTCTCGGTCTTACCCTCTTCGTGTTAGGATATGGTATTGGTGCGTCGTATCCCTTACCTCTTCCCCGAGATGTTTCTTGTTTGCTTTCTATAATTTACTTCATACATATTTGACCATCTCACCTGCTAACACTCGCTTTGTAGGCCCCATGTTTTATTCTCCTCTATCAGAGCTTCCCGCAGTCGGCCGTGGCCCAACATTCGTCCTTACTGCCATCGCATTTGTTTTCCTGAACTTTGGCGTAATCTATGCCAAAAACTTTGGGACGCTCCTGGCATTCCGATTCTTGACCGGGCTAATCGGCTCTCCTCCGGTCGCCACAGGCGCTGCATCAATGGCAGATATCTGGGGCCCTCTGTCTCGGGACTATATGATCGCCATCTGGAGTACGTTTGCAATTGCGGCTCCGGTGATGGGCCCTTTCCTTGGTGGGTTCGCTTCGTCTGCTAACGGCTGGACCTGGACCATATGGCAGCTTGTTTGGGTGTCCGGGTTTGCTGCGGCTGTTTGCTTCTTCTGCCTACCCGAAACCTACACCCCTAATATCCTTTATCGCCGTGCTCGTCGTATCAGAAACGTAACAGCGAATTCGGCCTATATTTCCGAGTCGGAAATCGAGCTACAGAACATGACTACCAAGGCATGTCCACCAACCTACGAAGGAAGATCCAAAGCACTAACGGTTCAATATGTCTAGGGGATTATTTTCGAGGCTCTCGTGCGACCGTTCCAACTTTGCTTTCTTGAGCCAATCATATTGTCTATGAATCTGTACATTTCGTTCATTTACGGGATGCTTTACATCTGGTTCGAAGCTTTCCCTATCGTGTTCCAGGAAATGCACGGTTTTAATCCCGGTGAGGGTGGCCTTGCATTTTTTGGTATCCTCGTCTCTGTGAGCTGTGTGGCAATCCCTCCATATTTCTTCTGGAAATATTTCTACCAGTCGAAAAAGCTTGACACCGAGGGGAACTTGCGTCCGGAGGAGCAACTCCCACCTGCCTGTATTGGGTGTTTGAGTATTCCAATCTCTCTCTTCTCATTCGGATGGACAGGAAATTTCAGTTCCGTCCATTGGATTGTGCCCATCATCTGCTCTATGTTTTTTGCCCTTGGCGGATGTCTGATCTTCAACTGCATCTTCTCTTATCAAGCCCAGGCGTATCCCAAATACGCTGCCTCTGTACTTGCCGGCAATGATTTCATGCGCTCATGCTTTGGTGCCGGATTTCCGCTATTTGCGAGTGCCATGTTTCACAATCTTGGCGTTGGTTGGGCGTGCACCCTCCTCGGATGTCTCACCATCTTGTTTGTCCCCATGCCATTTATTTTATATTTCTATGGCACCCGAATCCGCATGGCTAGCAAGTATGCAAGACATGATATTCAAAGTATGCTGCACTCGCCGCAAAGATTTATGTTTCTTTTGGCCCTACCTTGTCTTATAAGCGCCTATTGGATGCGTCCGATGCCGTTTTTCTTTCTGTTGTTGTTCAGAGGTATGAATTGACTTGTTATTTCAGAGGGATACATGAGCCTATACATACAACAATTAGCCAAGTTGATCGGAAATCAACCTGGTCGTCCGTATAGACACTTCGGAGCTGATTCCGACGGTGCGGCTTGGTTCCTAATCTGCACCAGCTTCATATCACAACACTTTCTCGAAGACTGACGCTAGTTAAATTTGGCAGATCTATAAAGCTTGAGTTATAATAGAGTTATTATGACTGTTTCACGTCTCTATTCAAAGAGTTAAGTTGAAAATTTTTGATCTTAGTATAGACAAAATAATTAGTTGCTGGTAAAGGAAAGGTTCGATCATAGTCTAGTATAACTAACTAGACCTCCGTACAAGGCCCAAGAGCCCAAATCCCAACGCAACGCAACGCAACCCGCAAATGGGCTAGGCGTTAGGCCCATCGATAGGCTATAGGCCAAGGGTAGAAGTATTAGGACCACAGTACTGAAAGGAGCACCCTGCCTACTTGGTAGCCGTGATAAGCTCCAAGTTATGCCCTCCGATCAGCGCAGCATGCGCTACGTGACCTCGCAATAGTATATAGAAGCTCTCAGGGGCTGAAGACTGGGTCTTCAACGATTAGTTCAGCATTGAATCGACATATTGCTTCTATTGTCATGGATTGCCTGGATCTATGTACAGCCTATTCCTTGCTCGCATAGCGAGGTCTTACAATAGTTAATCCTATTAATCTTATCAATTAAGTTCGAGCCTCGCCTTCATAATTTTACCTTTTACTCATAGACAGTCAGAACCCAAGCTATTGCACACTGGTTGTCAAAAATTGTAGCTTGTAATTACTTTCATCATTTGTTCTTTGTCGTCAAGCAAAAAATGAGCGGAGGCATAAGAATAGCCTGGGACACTGAGGCGGCTTGCGATGTCGATGGGCCAAAAAAAAGCAAATCAATATAAAGAATCCGAACTGTCCTCTTAATACCGAATTATATTTCCGCTTTTCACCCTGTTGGTGGTCCTTCTCCTCTTTGGCGAATACCCTTCCTAGAAGCAGCCTTTTTGGTGAGACTTACGGCCCTTTTTCATACGTATAGGTAGCAGCTCCGGCGCACAAAATGGCTCGCGCGAGCATGACGAGGTCATCAGTGGGTCGATATCTCGAAGCAACAAGGGAGTGCTATCAGTTTGTCAGCATAGTTGGGCGGATATAATATGGCAGTTTCTTGCTGCTTTACCATTCTCAGAGATGCTAACGACTTCGTTGAAGCTGCAGATAAGAAGCCGAAAGTATCTGAGCCAACTGGCCAACGGTTCAAAATCGTCGACTCCCGCAACCCCTGCGTCTTTTTCGTACTTTTGCATAAGCTCCATAGTTATGGCGGGAAGAGCTCTGAGATATTTGGTTTGAGACTCAGTTGGCGAACACTCCAAGCACTGATCCAAACAGGCTGTGGCTAATATGTCAGCGGCGCATCTACTCGTAAAAGCCTAGGACCAACCGATCTTTATTCTTCCATCTATGCCGAGTAGGATTTCACGACACGACAAAGATGGATGCGAGAGCCCAAAACTACCGAGATAGCATAGGTCATCGAGAATCTTGGTTGTTATTATTTCGGTGCAAAAGGACACAAAGGAACGTACATACTTGCGACATTATTGCAGCCATTTCTACCTCCGTAGGATATATGCCCGGGGCAGAAACAAGGTTCCCCAATGTGAGCGGAAAATCATCAACGAAAGCATACAGATGGTTTGAGTCTATGTAGCAGTCCCGAGATGACAGAATATTGGCATGTTGAAAGCAATTGAATCGTTGAATCAGATTTTCGGCGCCAGACTTGGGATATTCTCGAACAGCTTGCACCCGTGATGGATTGGAACGCTGAGTACTCATGACGTTGTTCGGACTCATCGTTTTCGACCTTTGAGTCGGTTGTAGAATTATAAGTCGACTGTTTTTCACAACATGTTCATTATTATAAATCACCATCCTTGTCCATTTTACTCATGTCCTACCCTCACAAATCTTTAGATAACCACCTATAACCCTGACTGCGGCCTTAACCGTCCAGCAGTCCGGGTTGTTTGCGCCTTCCAAGTCAAGCTGCCACCAAAATTGGCGCAAAATGTGGCGAGTTTCCACTGTGGAGAACACAGAACTAGGCGTGCTATAACTATAGATTAGCAACCAAGTCCGAGATGTCCTCAACAAGACCCAGCATCGTGTCGATGAAGTTCAAGGCACGGATATGCTGATTGGCGCAAAGTTCAAATTCAGCAATGCCATGTGCGAGCCTTCCCATATGTACTTCTCCGTCTTACCAGCTACAAACAATATGGCCGTGAGCCACAGGGGCATTGCAGAGCTCCAGCAGTCCGCATCTACAAACGCCTTCGTGACGGCTCGAAGTATGACATATCATTCTTCGTAGAACTAGCTGGTCAATAGCATTCGGGCTCGGCTACTTACAATATCTTTAGTCTGTACATTTCGGCGCTGAGCTATTTAGATGCATTGAAGGCTTCCGCGATAAATTCCAGAGCTCTGTCGTATGCCTCTGTAGAGCCCTTCGCCGGCTTCGGTGGGAATTCAGAACCGAAGTCGACGAGACCATGTCCGCCATCTTCTACAAGCAGCAGCTCTGTTTTGATGCCTAACTTCTTCAGTTGCTCATATTGCTCCAGACTTTCTTCAGCGGGAACGACTTCGTCTGCTGTGCCATGCACAAAGACAGAAGGGGGATAATTTTCTGCCACGAATAATTGCAGAAACCCCGGCTTGATATCCACGGGTATAGCTGCAGGTCTTTGTGCATACTCAACTTCGTTGAACATTTTACCAAGCCCGGGCTTTCCGAAGCACCCGTCTAGGAAGGTGCCATCGAGTTCCCAACGCACGGTAAGTGCGAAACGTTCGGAGAGAAAGCCACTGGCTGGCAAGTCGTCACTCACAATTGTCTTGTCCGCAAGTAGCTTTGGAACGCTATTGAGATCCACAAACTTGGCTATAGATGTCGGGGGTCGACCAGTCACCCAATGGTCAAGAAGGAGGTTGCCGCCAGTACCATATACGGTCATTAGGACAGCTGGTTTTGGATTGGCATACACACATGCTGCACGAGCAGGATACGCGCCCGCCGAAAATCCCGAGACAGCTATGCGGGTAGTATCGAGGGACACATTCTCCGGCAGCTGCTTTTGGAAGCCTCTTACAAGAAAGTTGAAGAGAGACTTCGCATCGTCGATCTGGTCGAGAGCGGTGCTTGGATGACAGAGCCTGTAGTCTGCCGATATGAATATGTACTCGTGTTTTTGACAATAATCTATATTACCGGAGATCAGCATTGCAAACGACTACGAGTCCTGAGCCCATGATGCTCAAAACATACCGTATAACCATTGTGGAAACGCTCTGTCGCGTCGTGAACCCGATGTCATTCCACCGCCATGATAGTAAATTAACGCCGGCAAGCTTCCGTTAGCCGTAGGTGGTAAATAGTAGTCCAGTTTGATATCATGGTCGTCAACGGTAGAATAAACAAGCGTCCGGCCTCCCTCCGGTAAGGATGCCATGACCGGTGGTCCAGTGATCGACATAACTCAGACGCGGTGCTGCAGCAGCAACCAATTGCTATCTAGCGATCGAGCGTAGAATGTGGCTCGACGGATAACGGGTTTAGTTAAATAGGCTGAGCTGTTCAGCGCCTAAGTGTTATTCCGCCTACTCCACAGAGTGAGTCCCGGAGTAATCCAAAACGGCAAGTAGGGCCGTCTCTTGCCTTAGTAACGAGACAGAAAGGGAGCATTCCGTAACTAGCGTCCTCGAAGTTCCCGCCCGAGTACCACCACTCTTCTTCGGTATCTTTTCGCTGTGAAGGGACTTTTCAGGTCGTTGGTTTCCCTGATACCGAAGGAAATAACGCCCCTACACATAGCGAACGCTGAGTTGGCCGGCAAGAAGGTAATTACCACCATGTCCCGTGGTATGGCGGTAGCTTTGCATAACGCACAACATAAGCCCGACTATATCGATCGACGGTAACTGATTCATGTTCTGTCGTCGATACTGTCATTTGAAAACGAACAAGGTTCTCGAGAGCATATCTCTCTATTTTGACTGGTTGAAGAGAAAGCCGGGGATGTCACCGTGACTCATAGAGTAGTATCCGTGATTGCGCCGGAGACTCTACTCTCCACAGGATGAAAAGCTCTTGGGTGTCTTTTCCAGAACCACTCAACGCTCACCATCGGACCATATCCCCACAGCCCCGTTGAACTGGCTCACAGAGTCCATGATTCATTGGTTCGCTGCAGTCGGCTCTGGATATCACGGTGTGTCGGACAATACAATCAACGTTCGGCATACGTTATCTGACCTCTCCAGATACTACAAAACGCGAACGATTCCTCTCAACACAGGCGTGTGATTCCTTTTCAGAATCAGTGGATGTTCGAAGGTCGGCTTTCAGCAGTACGTATCCGTCTCAGGACCTAATGGATACGGGGTTGGACCAATGGTTGACCAATTATGGAGCCCAATGGCTTGCGATGTAGTAACAGGTTCTCAGAATAATGGAGTGGATGATACACCAATCCAGATCATCGGTTGCCAGCTCCCTGTACATTTCATTGGCGGGAATTTTTGGTCAAAAAGTCATTCAAGACGTGTTCTTCCAGTCAATCTTTAACTTTATTATTTTCTATTCACCTTTATATCTCTTCCCGTTATCTTATATATTGAGCCTTTTGGTCAATTGGTTTCATCTACACATTGTCCTCTGCCTCAACCAACTGCCATGTCCTGCTCCATTGGCATTCAACCGACCTCAACATCGATCCATGACCCTTCTTGGGGTGCCGCCCTCAGCCTGTGGCCTGCAGGCGACCAACTCGAAGGTCTCGAGTCTATACCGCCGACTTTTGCGACATGGGATTTCCCACTCGGACAGGACTTGTACAATCCTGATTTGGAATTGAATGTAACTCATAACCCCCAACGATCACCAGAAAACGACATCGGTAATGTCTCTTCATACGGGACACAGCCTGCCCCAAGTAATGGCCAACTCAAGAATCGAAAAGACCGTGGCACAAAGCCCGCAAAAACAGGTATCCAGAAGACTCCATCACGGGAGAAATTCTTGGAACGAAATCGGCAAGCAGCCAGTCGATGTCGACAGAAGAGAAAAGAGCACACACAAGTCCTCGAGTCACGGTTCAAGGAACAGTCAACCAAGCATCAGCAGCTACAGTCTGAATTCCGCTGTCTCCGCATGGAGATCCTTGGTCTGAAAAACGAAGTGTTGAAGCACGCACACTGTACAGATAACCATATTTCCGAGTATCTCACGCAGATGCTAGAAAGGGTGATTTCCCGAATGGCCACGGTGACGTGAACAAAAGCTAACTGGTCCAGGTACACGAGTACGGGCCACAAGACAGGACGTCTAGCATCAGTAGTTCTTCCGAACTTGAGTCGACCAAATCGTTGGATGAATGTTTAACACACGCTGATTTGAATGATTTGCTTGTTTCAGAATAATGGCTCTTAAGTCATATAGGGGCGTTCTGATACTGGTTTGAGAAACTCCCTCTGTTACGCGTTATGACCTTTTCTTTCTTTCCAAAAGACTTATCGTTTAATTTGCAACACTATGTACGAACTCTCTTGTGTATATATTAATAAGGAGGTGTATGTATATGTTGAGGTCGGCCCGTGGTCTCTGGCAAAGATGCCAATGTATATGCAGCTATCAAGCCCCGCAAAGACGATCACAAGGGACCAAATAGATAGTATGACGGTACGAGCTGCTAAGTTCTGGTTGATCTTTCGCGCCCCAACTCTGTTTTTCAAAGTCCGAGAAGTGCACATCAATCTCTGGGGGCAACGATACTTCTATTTTTCGCGCTGTTACCTGAACAGCCCGTAACATACCTTTCCCTAAAGCCCATCGTCGCGACGCCACCTTCGCAACAACGCTGAGGCTGGTGAACGTCTCCCAGTTCATGGGATCGTCCAAATCCTCCAGCAATGTAAACAGCGAGCCGGTGGTCCACTGGATATAGGTCACCACGAAAAGGTCAATACCCCACGATGATCGATGTATATTCATCAAACTAGAAATCTTCCGAGCGGACTATAAGCACGTATCTGCCGCGAACTTATGAAATCGAACTTAGAATGCCATTGTCGTCCGCTATATTTTTTTGCAAACCCGAGGACCATAATGGTAATGGTGTGGTAATACATGCTGAGACATTATAATTATCCCATGTCTCTCCAGGTGGCGTTCGGTCGAGTTTTGGGAGTATTACGGTCTAACTCTTTGGAAGCGAATACTAACTGTCCCCGATAGAACCAGTCACGTCGGTCTTTTCCCATAGCATACGCGCTGCGAGGTTCCGCTATTAGCATCCGTGGACGCATACCGAAAGGGAATGATAGAGGGAGAGTTTATATTCACCACATTGAGAGCACTTCTAGCCCTTGTACTGTAGCAACGGTCATATTCCCCTCCTCCATCTCGAGGCATTTCTTCGCTTCGTTGTAGAAGTGAACTCCTACCGTGGCCGAGTCGTCCGGATCGGTGTATGCTTCCACATAATCAGAGTAAGGCTACCTTGATGGATCTGGTCAGAAACTACAACAATATTTTCATCTGACTCCTCTTTCATCTACCAACTTACGCATCCAGCTGCCAGAATAGCATTAACGAGAAATGGCGAGCAGAATTGAGATTCTAGGTCTCTCTCCCTCATGTCCCTGGTAAAGACGTCTCGGTCCATCCAAGGAAAGCATAGATGATACCATGTAAAGTACAACGATATGATATGCAATACCAACCCATCGTCGCCTGTGACAGTCGTCCACGGTTTTGCCGGGACTCGGAATACAGGCTGATCACAGAGTCGCTTAACATCGAGAACACTCCCATGAGTCCGGGAATTGGCCTCTAACAGACTGATTTCATCATGGGCCTTGGCTAGTTCGGGTGACTGTGCTCTGCGTAGTTGCTCGTCGATATAGGACTTGAGTTCGGATAGGGAGGCGTTACTGCGAATCAGGTTCAGAAGCGCGAAGATATGAGTGTCACCACTATCGCGTAGGGTCTCGATCAGCCGTATAAGGAGCTTCTGGTCATCCTCGAGGCTGTCTAATTTCGTTTCAGGGTACTGCGTCGGCGGTAGTCATTATTTTCGTCGATGACACAGTCGACTTGCATTTTACAGCAATGACCACATGGCTTTACTCCATCGCACTAGAAGAGATGTTTTAACACCGTTGCCTCAAGATATTCCGACTAGTGGGGCCAAGCACGAACCTTTAGCCTTTTGACCCGACACAGGGAGCAGGTAGTCGAGACCCGATATACACCAGGATTTCCCTTTCTCTACTGCGATCCTGGTGCTGAGGACCGCGGATTTTGAACAGGATTCATGTACATGGTGTTATCTTCGATGGGAACCCGAATGCTCACTTGAAACTGGTACCGTTGAAGAAGGCGAGGTTTGCTACACCGAATATCTGGTCCGATCGGACCGGCATACTCTTCGGAATTCGGGGCATATGCTTGCTCCGGAAGATACTCGGTCACTTCTCCAGCTACACGGTGGGTTTATCGGTACATCTCAATCGATCATGGATTGTAATTGGTTCCGCTGGACAATCGGAATGAGCTTTCCATTACCGTGAAGAACTCAGAGAAAAACAATATCCGCTGATATTAAGGAAAGAAGAATCTCATCCCGTCCCTCCTCATAAGCATTTGGTAACTACGGGGTGTAAAATAAGCATTATTCCCTGCCTGGTTGCAAAAGCACGGGGGCTGGATATGTGCGTCCTCAGTTTGTCTCCCTGTTATATTGCACCTGATACGTCTGCAGAAATCAGGAGAAGAATAGGTCAAGAAGACTGGATAGGGACAATCAGTGTTGAATCCGGACAGCTCTTTTGATATGACTTGCAAAATCTCGGAACAGCGACACCACTCTTATTCTCGATGCGTCAATTTTCAAACGCCAGTTAAACTCATACAGTACAGGCGACGGGTTGTGCTTTGCGGCACCCCTTTTTGGATAACTGTATCATGCACAGGTCGGACTTGTCGCCGGCTTTGATACCGCACTTGAGGGATTCGTTTGCGAACATCCTGCCACTGCCCCCCCGACTGTATCATCTACCGCAGAATCATAGGCATCTCCGCAGTTCGGATCACTAGAAGTCTATTAGTGCGCCAGCATCAACCAGGGGGGCTAGTCTAGTCTCACCTCGAACCACCGCTGGCATTATTGAAGTATGAACAGATATCATGCGAGAAACAGTCCTGCGTGTACACATCGCCAACCGCGGTTCCGGTACATCCAGCACCGCATCGACCATTGCATGAGTAGCTTCGGGGATTTATTAGCGCTGATGTTATTGATAACAGAAGTGAACATACTCTCCGGATCCATCGCTGTTGGTTCCGTAGTTACTTCCAACCACCCCAACAAACGAACATGTCTGTCCGTCGCTGTTCGTCCATGTCGCGGTGGCCGTGGCGCCAACTTCAAGACAGGTGATGGAGCGCTTGCTAAGCGTGGCACTCACAGCCAGTGGAAGGACCGCAGCAAGTGTATAGAATACTTTCATGTTGTATTTTCAACAAGAAGATGAGCTGTCTATCTCGGAGAATCGACATCAACAAAGGACGGTCCAGCTCCTTTTTAAGGTGGGCCCCTCGGTGGGTTTCTCGGAGTTTTCTTTCTCGGCTCGGGGCCGTAAATTAATGTTGATTAAGTATATCGCATCAAAGCAGCTATGATGGCGATGTTCTGCAGGTACAGGGATAACGTTGGTTTTCTCTCACTGCCGAAGTTCAGTTTATGTCAGTTGTGTACAGTCTTACATTCACTACGTCTGCCTAATCCCTGGGTCTATCCCATATAGTAGGAGTCTCATTTCGCTGCGTTATAGTTCCATTCGAACAAAACACCAGTAATATGCCCATGTGCGCGTTATCGTCATCTCGGTAAAGCTTCGAGCATAAAGACCTGGATACACTATTTCGTTCCTGCCAATTAGTTACATCAGGGGTATCGCAGCGGCAATGTCCGAGCTCATAGTACCGCGTTCTCGACTCGAGGAATCAATACCCATTCCTAATCTGCCTTAGCCTAGAACGAATGACACGATAGGTATATACGCCCAGTGTCCGTCCCACCGTCATCTCCATTGGCCATCCAATTATCATGACGTTTCGGACCGAGGGTAAAGAAAAATGTTGTATAAAAAGGACCAAATCGGTATCACAATCCTACCGACATAGTACACGAATTTACCCACAAAGCCATCCATGTCGAGAGTCTGCAACCAATGAGTTTCCTTATTCCCGGAAAGTGTTCATACGAGATGTACTTACGGCTATCGAGGCGCCTCCGCTTTTCTTTACCCAAGTGAAAGCGCGCTCAGCCATCTGATCTTCATAACGAGTACAAGCCTCACGAACCTGATCCGTCGAAGGCGGTACGCCGGTCTTTGCTTCTTCATGCAATGATAATAGTTCGGGGAGGATTTCGGCACAGTCGTGCAGAGCCTGGTTTGCTCCTTGGCCGCTATCGGACTGTTAACGATGATCTTCCTTTTTCAAGCATCTGGTTCTTACCGATTGGCCTGCATAGCATGGATGGCATCCCCCATCAGCCAAACTCTGGGGTGCCCTCGAAATGGCTCTACAGAATTCTTCAGCATGCTACGCCAGCGTGGTGAGGGTTTGGTGCTAGCTCGTAATGGTGATACAAATATATCCGCGGTACCATCGTCCTTTGCCGCTGTCAATAGTAATTGTCCACTAGGAGGTCTTAGTGCAGGCCATTGCGGTGTGTACACCAAGATAATCGATACTCACAATCTCGGGTCCCAGTCCTGAATGAAATCCAAGCAAAATTCGAATTTGTCGGGGATCTCAGACACACTTTTGTAGTGAGAGTGGCTCCTCGGAATGCTCAAAACCCAGAAGAAGAACGCTTTTCTTTCATCACGGGCTGAACGATCCGTATCTTCGGCTTGCAGAGATGGAAGATACACTGTCTAACTCGTCAGAAATATCCATAAACAAGCAAGGTTGACGGACAAGAATAGTATAACGTGGCACCCTTTGAAAAAACGATGATGGGTCCCCGATGCAACTGACTAGGAAGCTCGTACACCTGTTCCAGTGTAAGGCTTCCTTTCGCAAGAAACGCCCAGTGAGTGTTGATCGAGACAAGGTTTTGCAGTCCGACTTCTCTGTTCACCTTCATACCGGTCAGCCAGCCTCATACGATTGGGCTCGCTTTGCTTACTTGAGAACGACTCCCATCGGCACCAATCAGAATATCGCAGTCATCAAAGGAGGAATCCGAGAAATAGGCGCGTACTCTCTCACTTCCGTCCGCCTTGTGGATGATTTCGTAGCGAGAGAAAGCGTTGCCGTACGTCACGAGCCCATTCTGCTTAAGTGGCTCAGTGAGAATATCATGAAGTACAACTCGACTGATGGCAAACGATTTGGCATAAGAAGGTATAGCTGTTAAATCGAGGATCTCTTCGCAGCGAGAATTCATGATCGTTGGTGCTGTCGAGCCAGAGACGGAGGACTGACCGAAACTCTTCGAAATAGCGGCAATATCCTGATCTTTGAGACATGCGCGGAACCCAAGCATAGCAGACTCACCCAACCGAATCTGATACCCTTCTCTTTCCACATCTCTCTTATCTCGTTCATACACTCTCACGTCCACATCGTTGTTCTGCAGTCCGTTTGCCAACAGGGCACCAGCCAGTCCCCCTCCCACAACAATTACCTTGAACGATGCCATGATCGTTCAAAAACTAGATAAGAGAAGCACTGCGATATCCACTCCGCTTCGCATCGATAGAAGGAGGACTAATAAATGACTCTGTTTACTCCGTACAATTGCGGAGACGTGGGGAGGGTGTCCGATATATCAGAATCCCACCGGCTCTCCACCACCGAGTGAGTGGGGTTCCGACGGGTGTCCGACTTTCAGCAAAAAGTTACTATAGAATAATATCTTAAGGCTCGTCACAACTGCCGTTTGTGATTACAGGCCCCAAGAGATTACCGGATTCGTCTTTAATGTGGAGTGCTATTGGGAATGAGGACTATTTGACGGATGCTGTTGTCCGTGCTATACTAAAAATATTTGGTAAAATGGATATATAAACCCACTGCTACAAAGCCGACAAGGAGCGTTTCTTCTCATCCCTCAATCTGCATCGATATGGCTCTCCTTCATCTCTTTTGGCAAGACCGAGAGCTTCCCGCTCTCGGTCAGAGAGAGTTAGTCTCGGTTCTTCTCGCAACAACACTTCTATTGATTTTCTACCGCGCCTTAAGTTCTGTCTATTATCGAGCTTTCCATCCATTGTCTCAATTTCCAGGCCCTCCAGGAGCTTCCACGTCGAGACACTGGGTGTATCGAGTGACTGATCGTGGCTTTCCCGAAGAGGACTTCGAGAGACTACACGAGAAATATCGTGAGAACATTTGTGACTTTTCTTTTTACTGCATGCTGATATGAATCTATTGCAGAAACGCATGCGCTACGCATTGGACCCAACGAGCTGCATGTCAGCGATGTTCAGCAGTACAAGGTCATCTACAGCCAGAGCAAGCCATTTCCCAAACATGCCACGTTTTACGAAGCGTTCAATACTCCCCATACGGTCTTCACGGAAATCGATACAGGCATGCATAAGGAACGACGTCGATTACTTAACCCTTTGTTCTCGCGAGTTGGAGTATTCAAACTCGAGCCGGTGATTCACGAAAAGGTTGGAATTATGCTGAAAAAGATTAACCGTCTAAAAGACTCTCAATCCATCAACGTCTATGATGCTTTCAGGTTAGTCTATCCCACCGGACGATGCTCCGAAAAGGCTGACATTGCTCAGATGTCTCACAACTGAGGTCATCATGGAGTTCGCCTTTGCCAAATCGGCCAACATGTTAGAGGAAAATGAAACTACATTCGAGTCATGGTTTCTTACGGCATTTGATGCCGTTTCCGGAAGTCTCTGGAAATTGCAGGAATGGCCCCTGGTACGCAGAGCTCTATACTTTGTGCCGATCGATTTTGTTAGTTTGGTCGATTCACAGATTGCATATGTAGCTCGAATGCTGAAGGTACGTCTATCCGGTTTTTGTCTTAATTGATGAATATCCCTGACAATGGTGTTATTTTCGCAGTTCGCAGAAAGTTGTCTCCAGCATTACACCATTCATGGCAATACAACATCACATCCGGTCGTTTTTGACAATCTTTCCTCCGTGCCGTATGACCTTAAAGTCACGGAAGCATTGGATGTGCTGATCGCTGGTGCTGACACGACTGCGTCGACTCTCACGGCCGGAATACTCCATATCCTTTTAAATCCCGACATCCATGATAAGCTACGGCAAGCTCTCAATGATACAGAAGATCCTCTCGGGTCCCAGCTCTTGGAATTGGAGAAGATCGACTACCTGGTGAGTGAATTTGAACCCTATTGTACTCGAAGATCTAACTTTGGATCCCAGACCGCTTGTGTCAAGGAGTCATTGAGAATCGGGATGGCAGTCCCCGGACGTCTACCACGAGTGGTCCCTCACGATCTTCCACAGCCTTTCGTTGTTGACAATAAAGTCATTCCGCCAGGAGTAAGTTCATCGCTACCTATCTCTGATGATGCTCAGTGGTCTAACTCTAGACTAGACTGTCGTTTCAATGTCCGCCTACACAATGCACACAAACGAAGACGTTTGGGGACCTGATGCACGAACGTTCAATCCTGATCGCTGGTTACAACCAGAGTCCAAGGGTCTCGACCAGTATCTATGCACGTTTTCCAAAGGAGCTCGGATGTGTATTGGCCAAAAGTATGTCTTTGGTCTCGATATTATCGGTGATTAAAAAACTGACCTCTCTCCAGTGTGGCATATGCTGAGATCACAATCGTGATGGCATACCTATTCTATAATTTCGAACTCAGCCTACCACAGAATTTTGTTCCTCCACAACGTCGAGATCTGTTTACTATGGAATATTCGCCGCCGGGGTTGCCGATCCATTTCTCAGGCTTGAAAAAAGAATGGAGTCCAGAATGGACCAGCCAGTAACACAATATGTCCATGTGCGGGCTATGCTTTCTATAGACGCCGATATATACTTTGAACACCGCGAAATAGGTCAGATTTGAACACCACCAAAAGAAAGAAAAGAAAACACATCTCGACATAATTAAACATCAACAATATTCCAACTTCCTCTACTGCCTATATAGAGCACTTGTACGTACTGGACCTGGACTTGTTTGTAGGAGTATGCGGGGACCAGTGGGTCTTATATCACGCGACAATCAGCCAGCCACAAAGTTGGCAGCTGAAGATGTCAATTATTTCAGAAACACGGTTCATTTCCTAAACACAAGAGTAGACTACAGATTCAGCACCGAGTCCAGCAGAATGGCCCAAGCAAAGTCACTCACGATTCTCGTCACCGGAGTAAGCAACATCTCACAATGGCTATCAGTGCCGCGCTCACTATTTTCAGGCCGCGGGGTTCCTAGGCTCGAACCTCGTCGATTTCCTCCTGGCAGACGGCCACCAAGTTATTGGCGCGGATAGCTTCCAAACCGGGTCGCCAAAGAATCTGAAACATCTCGAAGGTCATGAGAAGTTCACGCTACTCAAGTACGTATTTTTTTCGAAGGATTTGTGCCCAACCAGGCTAACCCGAGACCAACGAACAGTCAAGACATTCAAGCGCCAATCGAAGGTCTAGGACACATTGACCAGATCTACAACCTGGCATGTCCAGCAAGTCCGATCCAATATCAGAAAGATCCTGTTTCAACCTTGCGAACCTGTTTCCGCGGCACGGAAAACTTGTTGGAGTTGGCCAAAGAACGGAATATTCGACTGTTGCACACCAGCACCTCCGGTCAGTAACCATGCACTTTAAACGTCCAACTCGTTAACTAAAAAAAAAAAAAAAAAACAGAAGTATACGGTGATCCGCACGTTCACCCCCAGCCCGAATCCTATTGGGGCAACGTTAACCCTTTTGGACCCCGCTCTTGCTACGATGAAGGCAAGCGAGTAGCAGAAGCCCTCTGCTATGCGTATCGCGAGAATGGAGTCGAAGTCCGCATTTCTCGCATCTTCAACACGTATGGACCGCGGATGAACGCGGCTGATGGTCGGGTGGTCTCCAACTTCATCGCAGCTGCGCTTTCCGGCGAGGAGCTGAAAATCACCGGCGACGGGAAGGCAACCAGATCGTTCCAATATGTCACGGACTGTATCAAGGGACTTTATAACCTTATGAACAGCGACTATGGCGATGGCCCGGTGAACATTGGAAACGACGGGGAGTTTACCATCCAGGAACTAGCCGACATAGCGACTGAGCTCGTCTCCGAAGTAACAGGAAAGCCAAAGGTGCCCGTTACCTACCATCCACGCCCGGTGGATGATCCTTTGGTTCGCCGTCCTCAGATCACTCTGGCCAAGGAGAAGTTGGGCTGGAAGCCCGTGGTCCCGTTGCGAGAAGGCTTGCGGAAGACAATCGAGTGGCATATGAACGAGAGTTAGATTGTCCAAAACCGCGATGTTCGGTGCATTCCATTTATCAGCCGAACAAAAACAGACGTATCATGCTTGGTTGGCCATTGATAGCTTGAAATATAGAAATGCAAAAAAAAATAAATTTTATTAAATTGATAATATCCAGATTATAGTTCTCGGCAAACGAATGGATGCCGAGGACACCACCATAACAACCTCCAACTCTCCAACTCCCCGGCTTCTTCTCTTTTCTCCATCAACAAACATCCACAATGACTTCATCTTTCGACTCTACAACTCTTCAGTCGCTCAAGGATGCACTGACATCCTCTCTCATCTTCACACCCGATTCCGAGGGATATCAAGACAGTTTGCGACGATGGTCCGATACGGGCGTCAAGCCCGCGGTACGCCCTCTCACCAACCCCCCCCCCCCCCGGAATACAATTCGCTCACTAACCTGACAAAGGGTATTGTGGTCATGCCATCAAAAGTCGCAGACGTTCAGACAGCCCTGCTCTGGGCCCAGAAACACCACGTCGATCTCGCGATTAAGGGCGGCGGACATTCAGTGGCCGGCACCAGCTCGAGCCAGGACGGTCTCGTTATCGACCTTTCCCACTTGAAGGCCGTTTCCGTTGATACCGCCGCGAAAACAGTCACAGTGCAAGGAGGCGCTACGTGGAAGGAAGTCGATGAAGCTGCATGGGAACACGGTCTCGCTGCTGTTGGAGGCACGGTAAATCATACGGGCGTGGGTGGACTGACACTGGGCGGCGGATACGGTTGGCTGAGCGGGTTATACGGTCTCACAATCGACAATCTATTGTCTGCGCGTGTGGTGCTTGCTGATGGTCGCTTGGTTACCGCGTCTGAATCTGAGAATCCGGACCTGCTGTGGGGATTGAAAGGTGCGGGGTACAATTTCGGCGTTGTCGTGGAGTTCACGTACCGGGCACACGAACAGAAGAACCATGTTTTCGCGGGTATCATTTCCTTCCTGCCGGACAAGCTGGAGGCAGTCGTGGAGCAGCTCAACGAAACGCTGCTGAATCCTGATCCCCGGGGTGGTGTTATGTGCTTCTTGGCGCAACCCCCTGGGGCGCCGGTGCCGATGACTAATGTTCTTTGTTACTATAACGGCACCAAAGAAGAGGGAGAGAAGCGGTATTGCGGGTTGCTGGAGCTGGGGCCAGTAGTCAACACGTTGGACATGATTCCATACTCCCTGTTGAACAGTCTTCAGAATCCCATGGCCACATATGGCGGACGGAAATCGTTCAAGGGGATTTTCTACCAGCCACCAATGGATCCCCAGTTTGTGCGCACCATTTTGACTGACCTAACTGCTAAGATCCAAGAAGATGAAGACTTGAAGGCATCCGCGTTGATCCTGGAGTTCTTTGACATGCGCAAAATCTGTGAAGTCCCTTCGACGGCAACGGCATTTGCTAGTCGCAATAGCACCCAGAATGGAATTATCTGCCTTCGCTGGTCCGATTCCAGCAAGGATGCCCAGAATCGCGCCTGGGCCCGCGAGATGCAGGCTCGATGGAAAGAGCAACTCAATACTCCCGATACAGATGTGCCACAGTACATCAATTATGCTGAGCGTAAGTTCCCTGACTGATACATTGTGGATGCAGTACTAACTGTTATAGCCGGTGATTCTGCTGTTTCCAACATTTACGGCGCTAACCTGGGTAGGCTGCAAGAGATCAAGGCCAAATATGATCCCACGAATGTGTTCCATAAGATGCATCCGATCGAATGAATGCACCAACCGCCTAGTTTGTCAAAAGTTACCAGTTGTACATATGCATAGAACTTGTACATATCAGATTTACCCTGATCATACAGGGAGGTCTCGAATTCCGTATACCAATCTGGAATTTTGCCCTGCAAGGAGCTCACCTGAAATACAAATTGTAGTCCTTGTGTACGGGATCCCCGGCATATCGTACTGGAATGTCGATGTCACATTCCATCAAACATCAACACCAGGTATAAATACTGGAAGTCGCAACTGCGTGTGGGCTACTCAGCACCGCACCAAAATTGACCGTGACGATGTATGCATCTCGATTATCATGGGCACTGCTTGCCTTCAGCAGTCTGTTGACCACCACTGTCGCAGCAAAGGATGCATCAACTGAGAAGTACACCTTCGCTGAGCTCTGGGACTTGCAACACGATCTCTGGAAGAACTTTCTCTATCCAACCAATTTGAAACAGATAAATGCCACGGATGAATCTGTTTTCACGGCCGACGTAAGGAACCATACCTTCTACATTGTCCACATGCTGACGCCCTCAGGTCGAAGGCCGCGTAGACGTGACCCGCACATTCGATGGCCGTGAGCTCAACGCTGAGTACATATTTGGACTCTTCTCAGAGCCCGATCATGTCAGTCTCGTCGGGGTCCCGATTGAATACAACATCACGCAGTTCCTCGCAAACGACAACATCGCCTCGGCCACAACGGTGTTCAACTTCAACGCGACGACTTTCGGCCTGGTTGTCCCCGTCACAATCGACACATGGGTTCAGTGGAATGACGAGGGCAAGATAGTGCGCTACGATGCTACCTTCCGTTGGTTCGACCATCTCATCGAAACCCTCTTCGCTGCCATGGGGAATAAGCTCAATACGACATCCGAGGAACAGATTACAGACCACATCAGCCAGGTCCTGGCGCAGACAATCTGTAAGACACACGAGGACAACTGCCACGGCGAGAATCAGCAATACGACAATATGGACCAGTGCCTTGACTTCCTGATCAACAAGACGCGCTTTGGAAAGCCGTTTGAGTTGGGTCGCGACACGTTGCTTTGCCGTGAAGTGCATGAGCTGATGGTCAAGTATCGACCGGAGATTCATTGCTCGCATATTGGTCCCACTGGAGGGGATTACTGCGTTGATGATAGGTCATACATGAAGGTGGTGACGGAGCAGTACTTTAGCGAGTCGTGGATTCCGTTTGGGTATGGAAAGGAGCAGAACCTTTGGCTTCCTTGACGATTTTCGTAGCGAATTCGAATATCTTGAAGATCTATGTTAACTTGCTCGTGAGAATTCTGTTCTATCGATAGTTGACGGTTATATAGTACTTGCTCTTATAGCGAATCAGCTTGTCCTATCAAGGAATGATAACAGTTGTGTCTTGCATTCATGACGCTGGCTATGCTATCTATCTACCAATAGGATGCCCATTTGCTTTCTCCCTTGACCACCTGAATAAACTGTTCAGCAATAATCTTGTCCGTCTGCTCTGATGGGTGTAGCTCGTTAAACCAGAGGAACGTTTCTGAATGTGGTAGACGTGTGCACTTGTTCGTTTTCTGGTCGCAATGGTTGATGTAGCCAGTCACGTTGGTGATATTCGGGTAATTCGTGTTGTTGTAGTAGATATCGGATAGCTAGAATGCCGTGTCAGGTCTAGCTCTATTCTAGCTCTGAGGGTAGAACTCACCAAGCCATACGTATCCATCATGGCAAAACTTGCACCGGGATATCTCTTCGCGATGAGCAATTCATACGGTGTGCGATAATTGAACACTTGATTCAACGTAACTACCTGTTCCCTCATTCTATAGCTTATCTCCGTAATATTTGCCGACTTCCATGGCCAATACAACGACTCTTTGCCGGTAATCCCGCCCTTCTCCGGAACCGCATACAATGGGGCCAGATGAAGAGGGGCCAAGTTCATAAGCACAAAGTTCCTCGCGCCTGAGTGATAGATGTCGTCCAGCGCCCTGTACACGCAGTCAACGTAGGCCGCAATAGTATAGTTCTTATTCTGCGAGTCCGTCAAGAAACCCTCATAGCCAATGTCGTTGGTGCCGATCCAGATAGCGTACACGGTGGACTCGGGTGGGGGTTTCTGGGATGAAATTTCTGCAAGATAGGCCGGAACTTCGTACTCCAGTACAGACGCTCTGGGAATCTTGGTTGTGGCGTCTATGCGTGGTGTGATTTCCTTGGAGCAGTCGGCGCCGCTCACGGCGTAATTGGATAGCTTCGTCCCGGTCTGATTGGCGACAAATCGAGTCCAGACAAAGCCACCCGAGTTTGTATTATTGCTCTATTCTGTTAGTCTCTATTTTACTTCGATATCCGGAAAAAAACATACCACTGGTTCATCCCAGCCCACTGGCGGCGCGGAACCATTGTGACTGGCAAAGTAGTCCCAGCGCGACTCGTCCGTGTAACTATTACCGAACACGACAAGGTTAGTAAACTTATCCAGATTCCAAGCCGCGGTGAGAGCCGAAAAGGCCAGCAGCGAGAAGCGCATCTTTGGTGGTTGCGGGATGGAAGGAGGGAAAGAGGGAGAAATTGTTGAAGAAAGAGTGCTATGCGGGTCACGTGTGGGATACGTCCAAAAAGGTAGGAACTATTCAGCTTCCTCTGGGCCTCGCTTTTGCATCCATAAGATTCTGCAGAGCTATTCAGAGCATTCGACTGGGAAAATCGGGATTGACATTCACTGTCGAGCGATATGCAGTTCTCCGAGATCCTTGGTCAAAATTCTATGAACTTGTACAAAGTGCCCATTGTGCAAATCGACATGAAAATTGTACATCTTATACGACAAGCCTATTATCGCTATGCCATATACAGGGAATTCTACCATCACTCGGTGCGATGTCCACATCGTGATGTATACTCCGTACACACCTCACAAAACATGGCCGATCAGTAGCAGATCTCCAGCGATGCGAGATAATCGACAGCCTCGTCGATTCTGTACTTTTTTCATGGACTTCAGTATCGGGACGCGATTACTCGTAATTTTCCATTCTTTGTTCAAAGCGTGTAGTTATGTGATTGGAGCCCGGACACAAAGAAATCCTTTGATATTGTTCCCGACAATATATAACCATGAACCCCCCGATGTACGACTGCACACCCCCCAGCCATATCTGCCCTAGACAGACATCATGGAGCACAAACACACTCAGCGCTGGCAAATCCTCATAGTCGGTTCGTTATTGATTTTCCTCGCCGACTTTGGCTTCTTCCTCTCGATTCCGCCGCAAACCAAGATCTTCGAAGACATTCTCTGCAGACAACATTATGCTGCATATCCGGCACAACCATCGGAGCAGAACTGCAAGGTTGCTCCGGTTCAGAGCGAATTGGCCCGGATTAATGGCTGGAAGGACACATTTGACGCACTGCCGAGTATACTCGTGGCGGTCCCGTATGGCGCGCTGGCAGATCGCATCGGTCGCAAACCTTGTCTTCTCTTGTCGATGTTCGGGGTGTTGCTGAGCGAGATTTGGACGAGATTCGTTTGTGAGTCCCACCGTGTCTTCTGTGCCGTATGCGTTGTGTTAATGGTTAGGCTGGTCGTCCTCTCTCCGGTTGGTCTGGCTGTCCGGCTTGTTTCGCCTGCTGGGCGGCGGCGACCTGGTCGTCTCATCGATTGTCTGCGTGATGGTCGCAGATGTGTTTCCTGAAGATGATCGGTAGGTCTCGACCTCTAGTGGTGTTGGACAACGCGACTGACAGGACAGGGCAACGGCGCTGTATCGATTGAGCTCATTTATCATCCTGGGCGAAATTCTGGCAACGCCGGTCAGTGCTGCAATGATGACATGGTCGTGCTGGACACCATATCTCCTTGGTCTGGCCATCGTTGCATTTGGTCTGCCCATAGCCTGCTTCCTGCCCGAGACGCTAGATCGACAGAGTATCGAACCGCATACAGATGAGACTCAGGCCTCCTTGGTCGAACGGCTACAGCAGCGGATCCGGCAGTTCAGTCATTTGGCGCGCTTTCTGTGGACGGGAAATATAATCCTGGCGCTGTTCATGTTTCTAACGAGTAGTCTCAGTCGCCAGTCAACCTCCCTCTTGCTTCAGTACTCATCCGCTCGATATGACTGGTCCCTTGCTCATGCCAGCCTCTTTCTTGCTCTCCGGGGCGTTGTCACCCTATTTACATTTGCATTCCTGATGCCGACCATAACAGGATTATTGACTAGAGCCTTGCGCATGTCCCCGACCGTGAAGGATCGACGGATGTCGCAAGCCAGCGGTAGCCTATCGATCATAGGCTTCGTCTTGGTTGCGGTTGCCGCTGCACCCAGTTTATATGTCGTTGGTTTGGTGCTGCTCTCCCTTGGATCGGCATTTGTCGTCACAACGCGCAGTCTGGCTACGGCGCTCGTCCGACCGGACCAAATCGGACGGCTGTACTCTGCGGCTGCCGTGGTTCAGTCCATCGGGACATTGGTTGCCGGGCCATGGTTTGCTCAGCTGTTCGATGTAGGCCTGCAGATCGGATGGCTGGGGTTGCCGTTTCTGCTAGCTGGGGTGCTTTTTGGTCTCGCGACTCTAGCAGTGTCACTAGTGAGGACGTATGAACCGGTAAACGAGCCGGAACAAGAGCCTCTCCTGAGCGATGATGTGTAATCGAGTATACAAAGTCGACATCGTTAATAGAAATTGGTGTATGTCAACCTCCATCCTGGATTCCGGTACCGATACCAGCAGCAATCGCACTCAAATGGAACATATCCTCCTGGAGCCTCTTCCATCATGGACAAGTCTACTCCAACCGCGGCAAACGCCTGCCCAACTGTCTGTCCACCACAGAACATTGCTTTCGGCACATCTGGGATCGGGGTCGTTGTCTCCAGAACAATCTTGTTCAGTTCGGGAAGCGCCCCCTCCTGCAGCCACTGGTAAATCGGATTGAGATAGTATGACTCGAGATCAACGTGTTGGACAGCGCACTTTAGGGTCAATTCTTCCAGGTCCCGCGGGAGGAGCGCCTTGTGTGGCAAGATTCCCTGCTCAATATGCCCACGTATGATCCACAACTCAATCGCCAGGCGTCGCAGGGCCACGAAGTCTATAAAGGCCAGTGGCTCTATCGGCGGTATGTTGTCGTCGAGGAACAAGTCCAGATCCAGGCTGACAAGCGAAGAAGCGTGTATGCGCAGGGCATCCAGATTCGAAGCGCGGTCGTCTCCAGATACGCTGCGGGCCCTCCAGGCCGATCCCTTGGTGGTAAAGTGTTCAAGGGCTTTGGGCATCGAGAGGATATCACGGAGGTGAGAAGGTCGGATGTCACAAGTGATCAGTGTTAGTTCCCGAAGATCCGTCGAGCGTGGTTCCGCGGAACTGAACGAGGTGAAGCAGGCCATGCGAGCATTGGCAATGGTGAGACGTTGTAGGGTTGGAAGTAGGAAGAGGGCGTCAAGCTGGGCAAGCTCCCAATTCCCCTGTTCGCTCAGGTTAATGGTGCCTTTCAGTTCAGCGTATTAATACATTGTACAATGTGTTGAAGAAACATACATGTTCGCAACGACCTCAGAACTTGGGAATCTGGCATTGTAGCCGCCAGCAACAAATCCTCAAACTTTTTCGACTGCTCCATGTAGCGGTATAATCCCAAAGACATGGGGCCTCCATCATTGACTCCTTTGATGAGTAGCGACTCTAAATTGTACAACTGAGCGATGGTTGGTGACATCGATTCGAGCTGCAGCGGAGCATCCGTTTCGTCCGCGACATCGTGATAGTGTATCCGCAGTTCCCGGACAAGCTCTGCTCGAGTAGGGATACGTTCAATGGCACTGGTGAAGGATTCCTCCTGCTTGTTTCGTAGCGAGACGGTGTGGTATAGATGCGGTTCGACGAGCAGCTGCAGTGTCTGACAGACGCGATTTAGACGGGCCAGAGAAGAAGAGTTGATGAAAGACAGAATGATATCGAGCAATTCAGGTGGTAGGTCAAGCAGAAGATTTGTTGAGAAGCACATGATATGAAGAAAGATGAGGAAAAGTTGAGGACAGAGTGACATCGAGAGATGAAAAAAGCACTCCACTGCGGAGAGGGCGATTCTTTCCCCATCCGGAAATCTCACGGCTTCACGGACGCCAAATTGAGAATCTCACGTTTACAGAAAAGCATTTATTTTCTGGGATTTATATACACTCGAGTGTCATTATATACAGTTATCTCACAATTTAAGGGAACTCCGGAGCTGCTCCCTTGATCTTCGTATAGGCCTGCTTGACTTCCTCGCGTCCGGTGATCTCCCGCAACCACTGAGCAATGTTGGGATACTTGCCCAGCGATAATCCAGCAAATCCGAATTGCCGCACCCACGGTTCGAAATGGTAGTCCACAGCCGTGATACGTCCTGGCAAGATACTGCGTCCGCCGGACTTCTTGAGCTGGCCTTCGAGCACTTCGTAACAGCGGTATGTCTGTGCAGTGTATCGTTCCAAGGCATTCTCATTCTGGGTTGAGTTATAGTGTCTGTTGTTGTCAGTTCCTGCTTCACAAACCATTAACGGAGCCGATCAAACATACCGAAACCAGTTGGTCTGTCCTGTCATGGGCCCCAAAGTGGTAAGCAGAAAGTATTCCCACTTGTCGAAATCGACTCTGTCCTGCTCCGTATCGCCCACAGGTCCCAAGATATTCTGCTGGTCGTACACACGCCGGATGTAGTTTATGCAAGCGCCGGATTCCCACGAAACCACGCCAGTGTTGGGGTCTTCCAGAGCCGGTACACGGCCGTTCTCGTTGATGCGCAGGAAGGCTTCACCCTTGACACCGTTCTTAGGATCGTCGCCAAACTGCCATTGCTGGACGTTGTAGGGAAGATGCAGGGCTTCGAGTGCGAGGGCGACCTTGATGGGGTTGGGGCCAGTGGCGTGGGCATGAAGCACGAGTGGTTGCATACTGGTGGATAATACAATGGTATATGGTCAGAGTGAACGAATTGAAGCTTCAGTCGTGGTTGTAGAGGGGATAGTAACGTAAAAGGGTCTTATACTCGGCAATGAGGCCAGTTGGAGAACCAATCGGCGATGGTTGGAGTAGGTCTTCGGTTATTCACACACTTAGCAATTGATCAATAGTAAAGGGGTAAGTAAGACCAGAAATGTTCCATTTACAGCGATCTCGAGAATGGGTATAACCAACACACCTCAAGCTTCGGCTTAACCCTCGCAACTACAATACGAAACTGCCAAATGCCGCTGCAGATACATATGTAGTTGGAGACATGACATCACCGTATAACCCCAATTGGAGTACCTTCCATATTGGGACAGCACCTTATCTCGAGAGATCGAACGAGTACTCCGTAGAGGGGTTGTATGGCACAGGCCTTCGATTCTCTTCTGTTTAGCTGCATTATTAATAGGTGTGGAGTTCTCCAACACTGTTTATCTCGACTGACAGCTGCTCCGTAGGATACTTTCTATCAGTCAGTACTGGTCGACCACAGCAACAAGACAGCTTCAACATTGACATCCGGAACCATGTGGGCAGCGCAGCTGGTAAAGGTCAGTATCAACTTCTACATCCAAGAAGCCTCCACTCATAGTAGCAGTATAACACGCCCTACGCCCTCTCGACCTTACCCATCCCCTCAATCCGGCCCAATGAACTGCTCGTCCGTGTCTATGCCGCAGGCTTCTGCCACTCCGACCTCCAAGTTCTCCAGGGCGAGCTCAACAGTCCATTGCCAATAATCCCGTCCCATGAGCCCGCTGGAGTGATCGTCCAGGCCGGCGATGAAGCCCAATCGTGGAAGATCGGAGATCGCGTCGGGGTGTTAAACTTCAAAAATGCCTGCTCGAAGTGTCCGGACTGCGTATCCACGCAGAAGCGATATGGAACCTTGGATGCGCGCTTCTGTCGTCATCGCGAAACGGCTGGGTTTTACCATGATGGGGCATTCGCAGAGTACATCGTTGCTGATGCGGCGACGACAATCGCGCTACCGGATTCGGTATCATTCGAACAGGCCGCACCGCTGCTGTGTGCTGGAGTATGTCCCTCCACGGTCCTTTGATTATAAAAATGCTAATGGAATAGGCGACGGTATACGGGGCTATCCAAAAGGCCGCTCCCTTCCTGCAACGCGGGGACACGATCGGTATCATCGGAATTGGTGGCTTAGGTCAACTGGGCGTGCAATTCGCAACAGCCCTAGGCTATCGCACTGTTGCCATCGATAACCACGACTCCAGTTTGCAATTAATCGATGATATGCCGCCAAAGTTACGCCCAGAAGTCCGCGTTAATTCAACTCGTGTCGACTCCAAGGAGCAAATCATGCAGTTCACAAACGATCAAGGCTTAGCCGCGGCTGTCGTCTGTACAGATCCAGTCTCAGTAACAGGATGGAGTCTGGAACTACTGCGCATCGGAGGAATCTTGGTTCCGCTGGGTCTGCCCCCGGACAAGTGGCAGTTCGACTCGCAGACACTGCTGTTTCGGGAGTTGGTTGTCCGCGGAAACTATGTGGCTGGGAGACAAGAGGTCGAGGAAATGATGCAGCTCGTTGCAAAACAGGACATCAAGTCGCAGTTGACCGTTGTACAGCGAGAGGACATTCCTAACATTCCGGACATGTACAAGAAACGAGCTTTCCGGGGGCGTTTAGTCGTCCAGTGTCAATAGTTAGCATTGCCATGGAGCCGAGATCAGCCCTTACTTTCCAGACCGTAGATCAATACCGTGTCACTGTGACCGCAATTAAGCCGGGTGAAACATGAAACCCGTCCTTCCCTCTTCATACTCCGGTTAATCTTCGGCAGCGACGTTTCGGGGAAACATTATCTGCAGAATAGGGTAAATGGCCGAGGTATCCCCGACAGCCTTACAAACATCATCGGGGAACCTTAGCCAGCCAATGAGAATAATCCGGGGAATGACAGCTGTCTTCATTCGAAACTAATATACCATCGAGTATCGCTTTCTTCACCCTTGCAATTGACTCAATTCACTCCACACCGAGAAACATTATGGCTACCACTGAGAAACGTCCCGAGATCATCGAGCTCGCTCGCGGGCTTACCGGAATCCCCTGGTGCGAGGAGTATGAGAAAATGATATCCGGAATGATGTAAGTTTCTTCTTTGTATCCTGTCAATTGTACATCTGTGTCAACACCGTCAGGTACGATCCCACGGTACCACAACTGCTGGAAGCCCGTCATCGCTGCCGGGGTCTCGCGGCAGACTTCAACCAGGTAGATGCCAAGAAGTACTCATACGACCAAATTGGCAATGTCCGGATGGAAATCTTGAAGAAACTCGTCGGCCGCATCGGCGAGGGGACCTTTATCGAACCGCCGTTCATGCCGGACTATGGGTGCAATATGATCATCGGGAGGGATTGCTTCTTCAACTGGAAGTCCGTCTCCCGACCTCTATCTCAGGAATGAGTCCGCTGACGAATTCGTAGCATGACCGTCTTGGATACCAGCCTGGTCGTCATTGGCGATCGGGTCCAGTTTGGCCCCAACGTGAGCATCTTCAGTGCTGGCCATGACACCAGCGTGCTCTCCCGGATCAAGTTTGTCGAGTTTGGTCATCCCGTTTTCATTGAGGATGATTGTTGGATTGGCGGGAATGTCATTATTCTTCCTGGTGTGAGAATTGGCAAGGGGTGCACGGTTGGAGCTGGCTCCGTCGTTACCAAAGATCTTCCTCCGTACTCGGTGGCCGTGGGCAACCCGTGCAAAGTGAGGAAGACTATTCCTTCGGTTGAAGAAGAGGAGAATGACCCGAACAACCTGTACAGAGATCTTGTTCGGTAGGCCATTGTCAATGCAGTTTTAAATTTAGAGTAGAATAAGATTATGTCCAAAATAAACGGCAATCAAGAATTACTCGCGTTCAACATATCCCAGTCAATCTCCGGTCCAGAAAATTTCTTGCGTCGCTCTATCCAGAGCAGTAGGACGAGCACAAAGATCCCAACCAGCACCACCGAGCTACTGTTTGCTGTCAGCATTATCCATGAGACGCGGATTATGAACGTACTAATTCATTGAACCCACTGTAGTCGGTAGTGCAACAGGAAAGCAGAAGAACGTCCCACTGACTATAAGCCATAGAACTGAGAACACATTCACTGCGTAGCCCCAGACGCCCAGATCGAATGGGCGACGTGGCAGCCGATGCCGACCGCATGTTGCCAGAATACCCTGGGGAACGGTATACGTGAGGTTCAACATGATAACAGCTGTGTTGATGATGGTGTTAAATGCTCTCGAGCTGGCAACATACAGCAAGCCGTAGACCAGGCAGAACCCAGCCGATAGGAGCGTCGTGCGAACGGGTATATCGTAGCGCGGGTGAATATGGTTCCAGTAACTTGAGAATGGCAGTCCGTTCTTCATGGTCAACTTAGAAAGGGCTTTGTAGGTATGGGGATGGTACTTACATCGCGCGAAAAGGCCCAGGCGATGCGACTCGACGTGATCCACTGACTAGGAATACAGGCTACGGAATTAGCAGCGCGGACAATAAGAAGGATGGCCACATACAGTAATACAACAGCGTCATATACGCCTGCATAAATGTCGCCGCGTATTTGCTTCCGGTGGCCTGGTAGAACAGTTCAAGGCTCGGCAGAAACGAGTTCTGTACGGATTCCACGTCCTGAATCAACGTGGCGGCGGCCAGAATCCACGGGACAGCTGTAACCATACCCACGACGATGGTTAGGTTGCTAGAAGGTCAGCTTCAATCTGCATAGAAGGATCGACACTTACATGACCAATGGCACGCGACGACTCGGACGAGGAATCTCCTCCGCAATGTGTGTGCAGGCTCCAGCAGCTGCAAAGGCATATTCGCCAATCCCAATGCTCATCATCCATGCCGGACCAGCACTCCAACCACTGCTTCCGCGATACTCGACAAGGTTGCTAGGATGATATGCACCCCGACCCATAACGAGTGTAATCACCATCACCATCACGAAGCCAACAACAGAGAGGAACATGCATGTCTTGGTGAGGTAGTCTATGTGACGGATGGGAATAGTGAATATGGGAATCACTGGGTCTGTTAGTCTGCGGCGTTTGTACTAGTATTCGGATACCCACAGCTAATAGCTATCACAAGCACATAGCAAAGATATATCTGCCATTGCTCACTGGAAAACCCAGGGTGCCAGAATCTAGCTATTCCAAAGGCCGAGATGGCCGTCAGGAAAGTCCCTGATGCGGTTGTCACCCACCATGTGATAACGTTGATGATGCCCACCGTGTATGCTGAAAAGTTTTTAAATGGCCGGGGCGCAAGTATGTACGTGAAGTGGTATTGTCCCTGGACAGTCAGACGCGGTCATTGATATCGAAAGTGGTAGATCTTACTCCGGAAGATGTTAACGCAGAGCTCAGCTCTGCAAGTCCCAGCAACACAATCCATTGCAGAACTCCAGCGATGATGAGTCCAAATACCGCAGTCAGTCCGCCGCCATATGAGAGGGCTAGACCAAAGCAGGAGGCGTATCCCAGCCACGAGTTCGTGATACTGTTATGATCAGCTTTTGACGTTGACCTTGAGTAGACAGACCTACCCGAATGCCAATCCTAAAGCCCCGACCCAGGAAAATGACCGCTTCAGCTCTGCCTCCCTGCCTTGAGCGCGTAGAGCGGCGTCGTCGATGTCCAGCGTCTCTCCCACGACCATTTTATCCTGTGTTGTAGTCGTTCCAACGTTTGTTTTGATGTCCGACATATTTGCATTCTGCGAACGACGAGAAGCGTGCACCGTAATTGTCGAAGAAAACCTAGAGCGGGGCGTGTGATAGAAGTAACCGACGCGCGATGTATTCCAGATGCTACACGTGCAGTACCTGAGACGCAGCCCCCGAGCGTCCATAGGCCCCTTATCCCATCAAGACTGTGTCGTACAGCGTAATAACCCGAAGTTCTTCCTGTCCCTTGCTGCATCGCGAATTGTATTGCAACTTTTGTTTGGGGCTAGCCCTTGCGTATGTTTCTAGGACGTTTGATATGCGCAAGGCTTGGATTTCTTGGAGTACTGTGTCATCTGTTCCGTTGGAGGGCATATGGTTGTCTGGGAACTATCACTGCTAGGCATTATAGCAACGCGCCCGTTTTTGAACGTGGAAGATCAGGAAGTGCCCTGCACGCACAGCATCGTAAGCCCAATCAAGTCCATTTCTGTTACCCTCGATTGTGTCAACGTCTGGCATATCTACCGAGTCGCCCATTGCGCCAGAATATTCTTCCAAGTATCGAAGGGTATCGAGGTTCGCGGATGATGGCTCGTTCGCGGGCGTGGAAGAGCAACCACCAGGATTAGTTGCCAAAGCTAGAACAATCACTACGATCGTGAAGTAAAAAGGCTCTGTGTCGATAGCATTATATGTCAGTCATAGACGCGTAGATCATGCTCTGAAGAAAGGGGAGACGCACCGTCTTTATTCTCGAAAAGCTCAACTCTTGTTAAAAGCTAGATAGACCTAACCCATGGATCTGAAGCCTGGAATTTGAGCTTATGCATTCTTATTCAAATCGATATTGAAAAAGATGGAATGTTCCGTCGACGTGGAGTTGATGCAGAAGGATGGAAAGAATACAGGAGAAGAAAATCGTGGGTCAGGTGATTCTTCCATCATGATCTGTCGTCTATTCTTTTAATAAATCCACAGGATATCCTCAGCCTGCACTCCTTATATTTGTCTTATAGCTGGTTACGTATCATATGATAGTCTCAGCTTCAACGCCAGTCGAATTGATGAGCCCTAGGGCTAAACCATCGCTGTCGGAAAATGCACAACTAGGTGTGTAGACTCGGTAGAATAAACAAATTGTAAATAACCTCCATGCAGTTCTACGGGTTATTCACTATTTGGCCAAGTTATTACGCAGCTCAACCGAGTGCAGTGCGGCAGCTCGAGTCCTCGCTGAGCTTAGGGCATCTATAAAACAAAGAACGTATCTTAACGAGAATGTTACAGGGATTAACGTGAAATCTTTGCCACAGCGTAGTATCCAATCAGATTAGTTTCTATAAACAATAAGCCTATCAGTCAAGGGTCCCGGAATCATCATTCACTGCACCGGAGGACCCGGCTGGTTTACCGGTAACCCCGAAATGGATATCGCGAGTATGGCGTCATCCATAGCCAGACGACTGGCAAGGATTGCGTCTTTCAGGAACAAAAAAAGCCCACGTGGGATGGTTGATTGCAAGCGGTTGTTTGGCTGGTGATTGATGCGTATAGTAGGGCACAAACCCCCGAGAAGCCTGTCAAACCATCGGGGCTTGGTGATAAGGCGACCCGACAATTAGAATAGCCGAAGATCCCTTCGGCTCGGATCTGATATGCTTAAAACCTGGCGAATAATCGTGTTGAGGGCTTTCATGTGGGTCAGATATGCACGTCAAACGGACATTGTAGTATATACCGAAACAGAGTGAATCACTGAGGAAGCATCTGGCCCGGAGCAAACGGCCCCGCACAGTGTTTGGATACTTTGTATGGGGGTATAAAAGTCTTCATCTTCGCCATCATCCTGCAGACAACTTTCTTCCTTCTCTTTTCTCTCTTCTATCCGCTCATCACATCTTCCTCCCACTGTACCTCGAACAAGCCACTGCACGAAGAGGGTCTTTCGAGTCAGACACCACGATGCCTGACGAGAAGATGTTCGACAAGATCGAAGATAATAGCTCCAGGGAGATGGGCGTCGTCGAATACGACAGCTCTCCGGAAAGCATCGCCCAACTTGAACGACGTCCATCTAACTGCGACAGCATCGAACTCCAGCGCATCAGCACTTATCGTCTCCAACAGCAGCAGACCGTGGGCAGTTGCCACAATCGTCCTCCCAAGGATCAGTGGTTGCCAATGGGAGCTACCAAGCCGTACCCTCCTTCTTTGCCTGACCCTGAGAACTATGTCGTGGAGTTCGAGGGAGCAGAGGATCCTATGCATCCGCAGAACTGGCCCATGCGCAACAGGTATGCTCTGACCACTTCGATATTCGTATCACGTCGTTGATCGTACTGATATGCATGATAGAATTTTCCTGGCTGGACTGTTGACCTTCAGCGCATACGTTTGTGCGTACACCAGTGCCATGTTTCCAACCGCTGCTCAGGGCGCGCAGAATGAGTTTGGCTTTGGTCAAGAAGTCGCTGCTCTGGGAACCACTGTGTATGTTTTGGGCTTCGCCGCTGGACCAACCGTCTGGGCACCTGGTTCCGAGTTGCTGGGCCGTAGAGGACCGTTGTTAGTGGGCATTTTTGGTTTCAGTGTCTTCACGATCGCTTGTGCTACTGCCAAAGATACGCAGACGATTATGTTGACACGTTTTTTCTCTGGATTCTTTGCTGCGAGCCCTATTGCCTTGGTCCCTGCGAGTCTGTCGGATCTGTTCAACAGTGTTCATCGTGGAGTGGCCGTTGGCATGTACACCATGGCAGTCTTTATTGGACCCTTCACGGCGCCGATCATTGGTGGTTTTGCCGCGTCGAACCTGGGCTGGCGATGGACGCTTTACATTCCCTCTTTCTTCGGCTTCTTCATCCTCACGCTGCTCGTTCTCCTCGGACGTGAAACATATGCTCCAACCATCCTCGTCGAGAAAGCCACTATTCTCCGCCGCCAAACCCGCAACTGGGGCATCCATGCACGCCAGGATGAGTTGGAAATCGACTTCCGCGAACTGATCACCAAGAACCTGGCTCGTCCCGTGCGACTGCTATTTACTGAGCCCATTGTGTTCCTTCTGACACTGTACATGTCCTTCATCTATGGTCTCGCCTACGCTCTGTTGCAGGCATATCCTGTTGTTTTTGGCGAGGTGTATGGCATGCCCGCTGGAGTCAACGGATTACCCTTTATCGCTTTGATCCTCGGCTTGATCCTCGGTACCCTATTCGTGCTTTCTCTGCAAAAGTCGTATATCCAAAAGCTCAAAGACAACAACAACGTTCCTGTGCCTGAGTGGCGTTTGCTGCCCTGTATCGTTGGAGGCGTGGCATTTGCCGGTGGAATTTTCTGGTAAGTCTTTGTTTTAATTCCTTTGAACGCCGTCGCTAACCACAAAGCAGGTTCGGATGGACGGGATTCACCACTTCGATTCATTGGATGGCTCCCACCGCAGCCGGTCTCCTCGTGGGCTTCGGCATGGTCACGATCTTCATGCAGGGATGGAATTACCTTTTGGATTCGTACCTCAACTTGTAAAGCCCCTGTGATCTATTCTTCTGCTTACTCTCGCTAACTCATCCAGTGCGGCATCCGCCTTCGCTGCCAACACGATGCTCCGATCCCTCGTCGGCGCGTGCTTCCCGCTCTTCGCCAAACAAATGTTCGAAAACCTGGGCGTGCAGTGGGCCGGAACGCTGATCGGATGCATCGCGACCTTGATGATTCCGATTCCTATTGCCTTCCGTCTCTACGGACCGAAGCTTCGCCGGAAGAGTCGCCTTTCGCCTACCAACGCGTGATTGATCGCGTGCGAAACGAAGAATAAATGAAAATGTCGGGGATGCTGTTGATGATAATGTTGGAGGATTTCGAATTGGAATGGGCCCTCGATGGTCAATAATACGGTTATTGGGATTTTTTGAATGTTTAACGAAAAGCTATTCTTACTCTTAGAGTTGGTTTCTATCACGGATACAAATGAGATACGCGTTTACGACTATTTTACGTGGCATCCACGTGGTCTCACGAGTTCGTCTTTCCATTGAATACGTTGCTGGTGATCTTGGAATGAAACATTAGTTAATTCCATAGCGATGTTCATTGTTCCAAATTTGTTGTTCTTTGTGGCTTTGACTCCGATATATATGCGGCCGTAGGTACGCTGCGGAGAACGTCAATGCAGAAAGTACGACCAGAATCATGCAACGAGCTATGTATATTTTCTCCATTTACACCCCTACTAAATAGTTTATTTCAACACTTGCCTTGAATACCTCTCATACAAGTCCGGATACCACTTCTGACCGACGTCAGGATGGCTCAAAATACGATTTCTCAGATACGCCTCGCCAAACTGACTCGTTAGCAGTATTCATCTTTTGAAGAACGATACGTACGCATTGATACAACGGAGAAAGAAACTCGCTAGGCACATCGACTGCCCGCTTCTTCTGATCATCTGAAGCCGGGATTTTCTGGACGATGTGCGCCGCAGATGATCTTAGTCCTTCGAGTGTGAGATCCAAGCGCACGGCAGAAAAGAATGGAATGCTGTATCTTGTTTTGTTTGTTGGGGCCTATGACACGTGAGTAATTTCATGTTTACGGAAGACTCCGGGACTTACCTTTACTCGATGCGTGGTGGCGGCACAAACACCTCCGGTTATCGCCTCGAGGCCCTGCTGGATATTTACGACGAGACTACCCTCGATTGGCGGTGCATCGATCCACTCTCCGTTCTTGTTGAGCACCTGTAAACCTCCCGTGTCGTCCTGAGAGAGAAACGTGAACAGTCCAGCGGAATCTTTATGGGGCCCAACGCCCTGTGAGTCGTGCGGTGCCTGTGGATATTTGATGAACTTGAGTCGGTCCATATCACCTTCGAACTCCTCGAGGGTCGTGGGAGGTAGCGAGAGACACTCGGAGACATAGCGCAGGAAGGTCTTATTCAGAGCAGCAGACCGAGCGATGTACTCGTTCACCAGCTCTTTGGCACCAGGGTAGTCGGGATACTGATCAATTAGTGCAAGACCAAAGCCTATGACGATGGGTTCATACCTGACTCTCCCCTTCGAGTCGATACCAGATTGAATCTTGCTCGGTCCACGGTTTCATTTCCGGTGTTCCAAAGTCGAATTGCTACGAGAATCAACAACAATTCGTTTAAAATGTCCAACAGCACGTACCTCTCGCCAGTCCATCTGAGCCGCAGTTGTCTCGGCTCCTAGCTTGGTATACCCCACAAAAGACGGAGAATTGATCATATTGCACTTGTTCTTTGTCTCATCGGACAAGGCAAACAGATCCGGCAGAGTAGCATGGGCGCGTTTGGTCAATTCCTTATTCGTGAGTCTCTGTCTCCGCCATTACTGTAACATAAACAAACCGGCTTACCTCGAGACTATGATTGGTTAGGTAGAGAAATCCCACCCGGAAGATAGCATCGCGCAGTTGCTCCAGAGTCTCATCCTTAGTGGACGGATCCTGCAGTCTGGAAAAGTCGATTATAGGGATTGAAGAAAAAGTATCCGTCATTGTGTTATTGTCAAAGTAGTAATGTTGAAGCTCAACGCCGATGCGGGGGAAGAAGGTCATATCACATAATCGGATTTACATGACGCCATTTGAATTGCCCTACATATTACTGGTTGAAGGTATCGTGTTCAATAGCCGAACTATTCTGAATCCAAGTGCAAACAGTCCCACCAGATAGACTCCATGTAGGGCGTGGTGTTTTGAATATCCTCACTGTGCTCCTCCCGAATCCAATCGTTCCAGTTCCAGTCGATCCACTGATCGAAAGCGTCCGTGAACACACCAAAATCTTCGCTATACCACCGCAAAATGGGACTGATATACGTGCCCAAAAGAAACTCGAGTGCCGACTCAGCATCATTGTCGCTCGAGCGATCAATGATTGCACCCCCCAAAACCAGTCATGACAATCCGGAGTTTGGACAGATCCTGATCCTCCAGCCCTTGTTTGATAATATTCCGTGGGTGCACCGCATTGTGCTTCAGGTCTTTCTCGTAGAGTCGCGACTCGACGCCGGTGATTCATTTCATGATTGCCTTGCGGTAGGTTTGGCTGAGTCTGGATGGTTGTAGGGTCTGCATTTGCACTCCATGGACATGCTCCAGTAAAATCAAACGGACAGAACGGAATATACCAGAGCAAACGGTGAGCTCTAGGGGGTACGTCCCATAAAACTCGGGAATATTCTGTTGCCCTCGAGCCGAGAGACGTCCGTACGCAGCCGATTCGCAAGCATATGCCTTACCTACATGGAGCACAGGGTCGATGTCGTCTTGGGAATCTTCAAAGTAGACCGGGTCATAGAACTTCGCTACCACCTGCTTGCCGCAATGTTGACCAGAGACAACCTCCACTAAAACGATTTGTGAATTTTGGCCATCGCCGGCCCGGATCTCATCGATAATTTTAAGGCGAGTTTTCTGGGAGCCAGGTCTTCCTGGTGATGGAGGATGTCGAAGACAGCGTCTGAAAGAACTCAATCTCCGCGTCTCATTGAGTGCATTTCGCATTGAGTGCATTTCGTGCGAAAGCACCACAATCCCTGCCCTTTGGAGTAGGGGATAACTGGTTTTCCAGTGTATACAACGCTTTCATAGTCCGATATAAAAGGGCAGGACATTAGAGGGACGTATCAAATTGATCGAAAAAGGTGCTGAGGATTATCGATGTACTATTATGGATGACACCATCAACTCGATAAGCGAATCATACAATGGTCATAAGTGTGCAGGCCTGTGGAACGCCTGTTTGCCTAAGAAAGTTTTCCGTCAACTTCTACAGAACATTTATTTCCTAACGATCAAAATGGCCGACCAACGGGACTGCGCAGCGACGCGCTCTGATAACCAGCCCTACTCGAAAGAAGAACTTGTCGATATTATCATAGAGAAGCTCGACAAATCCACAGAAGAAGAGACGCTGGAAATCCATGATGTCGATATCTCGACGGCATGGCAGACTATTGACGAGCTAGAGCGTCACGAAGAAGGAAGAGCACATAGGTATGGACCCTCATCAAGGATTCAAACTTCAACTCATAGATAAATAAGAACCACCTACGACTCGCTTCAAAAGCTCCTCAAGCTCGTGATCGCGCCATGTCTAATACACCAGGTTCACTTCCCTTGGTTAAGTGATCAAATCAAGCTGTATTCATCCTTAACTTTCAAGGAGAAGAACGATCTACGCATTTTGCCGTCACCTAGTAAGGATTTCTACCAGCACCAGCCAGCGCATGCTCACCTAATATGTGACAGGGTTCGAAAATTTCCAGGCACCCTATACGGCCTCGCGCAAAGAACCCGACCAGTGCATTTTGCCAGCTGGAAAGAGCCTTCCGACGGTGGTGATAGAGAGTGGATGGTCCGAGACGAAACCGCAATTGTACAGGGACCGTGATCTATGGCTAAAAGGGGGGGTTGGGAACATACAGGTCGTGATTATACTGAAATGGAACGCTGATTCGGAACGGAAAGTGAAGGGGGATATCGAGCTATATGACCTCGATAATGTGGGCAACATTCGTTGCATCTCATGCGAGGTACGTGAAATGATCTTCAATGTATGATATACTAACCCATCTCATGAAGGCTATATTCCCTTGTCCACCGGCCGAAGTCGCTGCCACACAAAATATCAGCCTGACAAAGGATCAACTGTTTGGTCCAAACTTATCTCTCGCTCGGAACGATGCTTCAACGATTGATCTCAATGTGGATGGGCTTCGAGAGATCGCCGCTGAATATATTGGCCACCAAGGCTATACTCCCATGTAGCCTATGCTCTACACATATAAGCGTGGATCTCAGCAGACAATAGCGCTCGATGCGTATCCCGCTCTGGACACGTCGAGCGCTGTCATGTATCACTTCGAGTGTTTCCCTTCCTGTAGTCGTCTACATCTTGGTTGTTGTCCTTCTATCTTTCTCCTTCGCCTTTTTTCGTCGTTTTCATCTTATAGGGCTCTTCGTCATCTCGCGCTTCGTAGGTAATGCTCTGCTTAGAGGTATTAATACTAAGTACTCCGTCTCGACAGTCGTCGGGCAAAAGGTGCTTAGACTTGCCTCGCTTTGCTCTCCCAATGTGCCGATAAGAACAATAAGCTACTAACTAAATAAGCTGGTCTTCCAGTTCACCCGTGTTGACCAGGCCTGAGTGACTACTGCGTTCTAGGAACGAACACGCATCGACGTGCTAATCAGATAACAGAATTCTACAATTCGAAACGCCGTACGCATCCAAGAGAAAAGAACCCAGACACCTGAGTGTTCCCAACAAGAACCACGCATCCCCAGTCGTCGAAACGGGATGGTCAGATTTCAGACCGGATTTTCACAGAGATCGAGACGTGGCTCGAGAGCAACCGGAACGAGCCTAACAAGATTGGTTTTGCAACGGCCGGAACTCGAGCGGAGCTGCTAAACGGTAAAGCCGATTATACTATATGGTGCGAAGATCAATCAAAGGGCCCCTCTGCGATGGTGATAGAGGCCGAACAACGGCCAACAGAGTAAAAGGAGATATTGAGCTTTGGGACCGACGCTGCCCGCGCTTCCTCCATCAGGAGGTAAGTGACCTGAGCCTACTAAACATGCCTTGGCTCACTTCAATGATAGGTAATATTCCCAGCACCAGGCTCGATTTACGACCCAATATTTATAAACTACTAAAGCCCAGCTATTTGGGGGGGGGGGAGCTCTGTACAGGGACAGAACCCTGCGGTCATGGTCCGTTATATCCGCGAAGATGCATTCCCGAGTATGTTTAGGATAAGGGTACTGAGTTCTCGGCATGGCAGCGCTATTTTAAAATTTGTTAGAGCCAATCTATTAACTCTAACTCCTGTATACTAGATGTGAAGCCTTGATACACACCACTAATGTACTCTTTTGTGACGTTGAGAGACATCCCATAGTGCTCCGTACTCCGTACCCAGTCAACTAGTCCAGACCCCAGCCCAGAACATGTTATTAATCTCCTTTTACCAAATACGCCATAATCACACCATCCAATTCATCCCAGAGGCAGACAACCGCCCGATTCGCACGCCAAGATAAGCTATACACCTGAAACCCCGGCTCGCTTGGCGGACGAACCCCGAAACGAACAGCGCCGACAGAACAACCACATTGAGCAAGTATTAACATATCCGGAATATATCGAAAGCATCGGTGATTTACAATTCTCTTGAGCGTTTCATGCAGATCGATTTCTGTACCTGCCAAGAACGACATGTCTCGACGCTTTGGCGCCGGCGGGAGTATAAAGCCCTCTCTGGTCTCCGGGTTTCGTGCTATCCAACAACCTCCATTCATTCTCTTCATTTCTCATAATCTTCTTTCTAAATCAGAGTCTGGTACTTTGACTTCCCTTCGTTGCAATGGCAAACTTCAAATTCCTCGCAGCCCTCGCTACGGGCTACCTCGCTTCTCTCGCGCTGGCCGCTCCCACGCCCACCGTTAACCATGTCAAGCGTGCCAGCGTCAGCGACGCTGCCTACGGCTATGCCAGTTTGAACGGCGGCACCACCGGTGGTGTTGGCGGTACTACTACGACCGTTTCATCGTACGCGGAGTTCTCGTCCGCTGTGTCTGGCGATGATGCCAAGATCATCTATGTGGATGGCACTATCAAGAAGACGGCCGATCAGATCAAGGTTGGAAGCAACACGAGTATCATTGGAAAGGACTCGAGTGCTGTGCTTGAGGGCTTTGGCATGTAAGTTTGTTGCTGTCGGAACTAGTGAGATGCGAGGCTGATGTGAGTACTAGTATGGTCAAGGAAGCTTCCAACGTGATCATCCGGAACCTGGGTGTTAAGAAGGTTCTGGCTGATAACGGTGATGCTCTTGCTGTCCGTAAGTATCACCTCCTACGATGCAGGATGAAGCAGGGCTGACAGAATAGAAAAATCCACCAACGTCTGGATCGACCACTGCGACGTCTCTTCTGACCGTGATCACGACAAGGACTACTACGATGGACTCGTTGATGTATGCCCCCCCCCCTCCATCATTTATCCAAATAAACAAGTACTAACAGACCAGCTCACCCACGCCGCCGACTACGTGACCGTCTCCAACACCTACATCCACGACCACTGGAAAGCCTCTCTGGTCGGCCACTCGGACAGCAACGGCGACGAAGACAAGGGCCACCTCCGCATCACCTTCGCCGACAACTACTGGTACAACCTGAACTCGCGCGGCCCGTCCTTCCGCTTCGGCACCGGCCACCTGTACAACAACTACTTCGAGAAGGTCAGCGACGGCATCAACACCCGCCAGGGTGCGCAGTTGCTCGTCGAGTCGAACCAGTGGGTCAACGCCAAGAAGCCTCTGTACTCGACCGATGACGGATACGCGGTTGCGAAGGACAATGACTTTGGCGATGGCGAGAACTCTGCCGAGGAGGGTGACCTGACTAGCGTGCCGTATGACTATGACCTTGTTGGATCCGGAAAGGTCCGCGATGCGGTCTATGGTACCGCTGGTCAGACCCTCTCGTTCTAAGCGAAAGACAATTGCGAGGTTACATTCTTTAAATGGGGTTTGTCGATAGATCTGCAGGACAGCTGAATTCATTGGGGTGAACTTTTTCTCACTGTAGTACATCTGAACACCTAAGACTGTTCTTGGCCTTCTTCACCAGGATCCCAGGTCGCGCCCAGATTCATATAAGCGTTGAACGATGAAGCCAAGCATATGGCCGCTAAATAGGTCAGCAATTGCCATGTATGGTGAAAAATAGGAAACATACCGAGAGCACAGCACATTGCGTAATAGCCGCCCTCTTCTACCAAAACTCCAGATAGTAGAGGTCCAATGAACGATCCCAGCGTCCAACCCATACTAGAAATCGACAAAGCACGCGAGTATCCGCCATTGGGACCGAATATGCCTGGTTGTTTGGATTCGATTTCGTCGACGGCCACTGAAAATATTAGACTGAACACGGAAATAGGGTAGAACAACATACTGGTAGCTTCCATGGTCCCTGCTCCATTCAAGGCGCAGATCGTTACTCCAATCAAGGCCACAGTGACTGAGTAAATGATATGTCCTCGGTCACCTTCGTTGGCCCAGGGGAATCGCTCGTCACCCGGAACACCAAGCAGCCAAGTCAAAGGTGTTAGCACCAGAAAGCCAATCGTAATTGGGTGGCGCGTTCCCAGACGATCTTTGACCCAGCCCACTATCGGACTCAGGGGGATACCCGGACTCTGGAGAGCCACGAAAAGCAATCCGGTTTGCGTACTGCCCCAGCCGAATACATCACGAACGTGGAGAGGGAGTGTAGTGTCGAAGCTGGCGGTCAGAATCGCAAAAACGAGGTAGCTGACTGCTCCGGCAACAAATTTGCGATGTTGGAAGAGGGTAATGTAAAACCGTAGACCAGTTCTTTCGCGCATCCTGAGCTGAATGGGTATCACCTCGGGCGGTTGCGGTTGGAGAAGAGGCGCATTCTCGGGATCGGGAAGGTCGTCTGCATCTGCAGTCACTACAGATTGGTTAGACTTGTAGTCGCGAATGGGAATAGAAGTACCTACCAGGTCTCTTGCCCTTGTCTTTCGGTCGCTCCAACATCAACAATCGGAGGATGATGTCAAGCACAATAACAACAAACGCGCTCGACCACGCCACCCAGTACCCTCCAAAGTCAAAGAGAATACCAGACAGCATCGGACCAGCGGATGTGCCCACGGCCACCGCGACAGAAATAAGCCCGTAAATCCTGCCCAGATGCTCCTGCTTGACATTATCCGCGATTGTCGAGAATCCCACCACCCACATAACGGCGCTGGCCAGCGCCTGAACTAATCGTGCAATGAAGACGACCACCACTGATATCGTCAGCGACTGTCTCTCCTTCGGTTTTTTTTCCGGAACCTACCAGACATTGACACGGCCAACGCGAAAGTCCCAACCAAGCAAACTACCAAAGAGGACAACAGCCATACCCGTTTGGTGCTCGACTTATCCGCGTAATGGCCGATGAGCGGGCTGACGATGACGGAGATGAAGGCGCTCTGGGACAGAAGCGCAAAACTCATGCGCTGAGTGTAATCAGGGTCCAAGCCGATACGGACTTCGATCATATAGGGTAGGATCGGGACAATGAAGGTATAAAGGAAGGTATCTGGAGTAAAGCGCAAAATGTCAGCAATCATGACTTGGCCTGCAGCCAGAAAAGAACGTACCCGTAAAAAGAGCCATAGCCATTGTAGTGACAATAAAGGCCGACGAGGAGCGCCATCGCGCCGGTCCTTGCGACAACGAAGCGGATGTCATGGTGGTATTGGAGCAAGAAAGCGATACAGCATCAAGAGAAGAAAAGGAAAGAGGAACAGAGTCCTTTTGTTCTTTTCGAACGCCATTTTTTTTTTTTTTTTTTTTTTTTTTTTGGTATCTGACGAGCTGCGGCTGAAAGAAACCAACCGAAGCGGATCCGATCGGTGAGAAAGACGCAGGAATTGATCCGATTCGGAGAGACGGGGTTCAGGGATGGAATAGTCGAACTGGATCTGCACAGCTGTACAGAATACTCGTAGGGTGGAGGCACCATCAGAGAAGTCGTGGGAAAGCCGCTGGGACACGTGATGTGCGCTCACCAGAGTACACCGTAATAACCTGTGAATACAGTTCAGCTGACCCGACCCTTGAGCTCAGCTTACCCTGAAAGTGAGGCTCTACTACTCTTGGGTGACGCCGAATTACTCGAAGTGGTATAGCATTCCTATTTGGGTTTAGTGTTCACTTGCCGCTTGGCACCGCTGTGCGTGCTCTATAAAGTCGCCCACCATCGCTGCTTCAACTTACAGCCAAATTTCTGTTGTTTTCCTTCCACTTGGTTCCATGATTCTGGTGAGACATTTTTGCTATTGATCCTCTGTCAAGCCCCCGTATTGCGCCACCCCCTTTTTGCTGTTCAAGATTGTAAATATTGGAGCTGTCTCTGACTGAGCCTCACTTGATGACAGATCCAGACAACTTTGTTAGATGATATCCTGAGCAAAAAAAGAATATGAAGCTTCGGGGTGGGGATATTTCTGTGCCATGCTCTTGTGTCTACGTGCTATTGCTGATTGTGTCAGGGTGCAGGGTCGGGTATATAGGCAGACGGATATATATTAGGAATTGACGGGCAGAGTCAGCTACGGGTCAGGCAATCTACAGGTACATAGACAAGACGCAGCTCGAAGAGCTGCGACAGGATCAGCTTCAGTGAGGAGAGATATCTGAAATGGGAATCGGGGGCTGGAGGTCCAGAGTCGATTATCCGCGGCTAGCGAGAGCTACTCTTCACCAGATACACTTATTTCGAATCAGTTTGCTTACTGAGGCAAGATATTTAGTATTGCCTTCATCATGGACATTCCGATTGAATTGATCGTTTATGTTTTTGCCAACATTTCCCCCCCTGATGTCCTCAGCCTTGCCGCGACCTGCAGGAAACATTGTGATGTCTGGCAGCAACACACAAACACCATCTACAATCTCATTAGCCACACCATCCAATGCGAACATGATGCAAGGAGACTCCTGGCTGATCAAGGGATCCTACCAGTTGAGTCTGCCATGACAGTTCCAGGTTTCCTGCAACTCCGTCGGAATGCCCATGTCATTGAAAAGATTGTTGATAAATTTGGCTATAAGTTTATAGTTCCTATCTGTTGTCATTTAGGTATGTCTGTTCTCTAGCCAACCAATTTCTTTCTCTCTAATTCAAGTAACTAGTTGACCCAGTGGATTATGGGTTCTATGGTGGCGGGCCGCGGCCACCATACTTGACACCCACTGAGCGCCCTCGTTTCATCCGCATTGTGTACAGAATCTGGGAATTATTCCTTCTTAGCTCAGATGCAAGACATCAAAGACTGAAGAGCTATAAGATGAAAGACCTGCTCTCTCTTGAGGATATAGGTCCTGGCTATGAACCTCAACCAATTGACGTCATCACATCAGTAATTATGGCTGAGGAGGAACAGCCTAATGGGATAGGCTTGGCAATACCAAAAATTGATTACAAAATATATGTTGATGAAATTTTGAACAAGGTACGAGATGCAATTGACCATGCCTCTCAATATGCATATGGTTGCTCTTACCAAGAATTTCATGGATGGGATGAAGGCGGATGGTGGAGGGGACCAATTTCTCTTGTTGATGACTGTCATCCTATATTCAAAGATATACTGATAAATGCTGAAGACACAATTGGAGAGCGCTGGGTCCCGGTGGACGAGGTCTGGTATGATACATCGGACGGAGAGATCATGGATTAAATTGGGTGAAACCCGATTTCGTGGTCACTATCGAATTCACCATATATGTGCTGAGATATCCCGTCTATTATACACATGAAAAAAAAATATATAACCCCCAAAACTCGCTCAAAAAGCTTATGTCGAACAACCCACTCAATTACTGAAAGATTCACCTAGAACGGACCCTTTCCCTGATATAAGCATTTTCATCATAGCATTGGAGGACAAAGCCCATTACAATTTGGGTCAACTTTTCAAGCATGACTCCTCCTGGTATTCATGCCCATGAATCCGACACCCAACGTCTGTAACAGAGGCTTGCAAATACGATCGCAAGGTTCGATGCGTCCTCTGGCAGTGTCACGCGCGTGCCGGCCCGGGTCACCATAGACAGCCATGATGGAGTGGCCACCGTAGGGCGGCTCCTCGGTAGTATTGATTTCCCATTGGGCCAATGCAACATCTTCAGCATGCAGTTCGCCTCTGTCTCTACGGCCTGACCGAATTTCGTTCTGGTAAGCTTGAGCCCATACCGGGATATAGCAGTTTTCTTGCTCGATGGCCGGGCGGATCGAATGAAATTGTGTCTAGTATAACATCCTCCAGTTGGAATAACTGTGCCCTCTTTATAATCCATACCTAAGGCTGAATCCATATTCCCGGCTAGGGAATGCTCATTTTTACCCCCCTCTTATCCACCACCCTTGCTCTCACCTGCTCCCATTGTCCCAAAACCATTACCTCCAGTTGAACTGCTGACTCTGCCTCCTTATCTGGATAACCACATCTTCACACAGCTGATAGCAAGAACTTGGGTCACCAAGTAGGGGGGAGGTAGTTGTAATGATACCAAGTACCATACATGCTAACTGATGTCAACTACCAAGATGACGTGTATGTTTTGCTACAATTAATTATAAAACCAAGAAATAGTCCTTAGTGAAAAAAATCAAGCAATTTGTTTGCAATCTGTGACTGTTCGATACCTCGATGCCAGCTTAAGACCTCGACGGCTGATATCGACAATTGACCTGCCCGATTGAATTTACCTGTGGCCGCTTTAAAGCGGCGACGCTAGGACGGAAATGCCACGAAAATGTACCTTCAAAGGCCACGACGTTTTGTGGCCTTTCCGGCGTCACCCCGAGTCACTCCGTACTTCTTCTATCTCTATACTCTCCTACTACCTCTAGTTATACAGAGTACTCTCCAACACACTTGGCCAATTCAGCTCATGCAAACCCGTGGATCCTTACCGCATGCAGTGATTTGATTTAGTCTGCATATGTACAAGTACGGAGTAGGTTCACACGTCGGATCAATGAATCCTGACTTGTATAGATGTCTGTCGAATACCAGATACATATATGCGAATCTTGAATATATACACGAATCAGATCTTATCGTAACGGCATGCAACGTGAACTCGGATACAATCACAGCAACGTCTCTTGATGACAAGCCAGCTTCCACTCTCCATCCGACCCTTGACTCCATGTCGATGACCCCGTCGCATTATATACCTGATTCCCCTTGGTGGCCGTGATTTGATACGTGATGACACCCGCCATCAAGTCCAGAATAATCGTTCGTGTGTCTCCTAACGAAAACGAGTCGAATCGGTGAAACGGCGGCTGGACAACATCCTCTAACGATGGGTCTGTCCCGTCAATGGTCACGATGGGCATCTGCGGAAAGATGAAGTTGGCATCGGGGCTGCTGAGTTTTTCGACGGCTGGAGCTGGGTCGGCAGAGGTGAGGGCTGTCCAGAGGGCACGCTCCCGGACGAGGAGGTCGTCGCGAATTCTTTCGTGGATGCTGGGCATGGTGGCTAATTACAGTCAGCTTGGCCTCCTTCTGGACGAGGCACTCTTACAGCAGTATGTCTTTTTCGCAGTGGTATTATCAATAGTCTGGACGATACTGCTAAACCATATCAGATCCTCTAGTTTATATACTCGTACCTGGATCTCGATTGCCGGCTGACGTCATGGGCTCGGCAGGCATTGATATCAGGCCATCCGCGGTTGGAACCAATCCCGTCCACGGCTCATGCTTCCAAGAATAGAGGGCTGCATCATAGGGGGCCGGGATAGTCGCAGGTTTATTATACTGTCCATGGGAAGGAAAGGGCTCGGGTACAATCGTGATTAAGTGCCATACTATAAAACTAATTTTGTGGGGAAGATACTCGGTATGGTACATGATTCTCCACGATTTCTACCGAGACTGATGTCACGGCTTATATCATGTCCAATTCTGTTTCGGAACAACTGCCATCCAATCGTTATCCACTGAGATAGACAGCAAAGTTGACCCCTAGTCCGGAAGATAATTCCCCGAGCACTGCAAACCTGGATGACAAGCATTGAGTTGACACGCTTTGCATCCCAGTGCGAAGAAACACACCCGTCCCTACACCCGGACCCGAAAACGGGCTCGTCATCAAAAGTCTTCATCGTCTCTGTCCAGAAAGATTCGGCGTCTTGTTATCACCATGCAGCTCCCAGGAACAGGCCACGTTTTTGCCTTGACTGTATGGTAGCAAGACACATATTATGCTAGCCTCCTTTTCCTTTTGCAAAACAATTAAAGTATTAACCCATTATAAAACAACCCGCGCGAGAAACAAAAGGAAAGAGAAGCATATCATCAAACGCATATTATCATAGACCTGCAAAAAATGTAATAATCTTGATGTCAACACATTGCGCGTTGGTTATCGGCCAGTCCATTAACAATGAGAACCATTCCAGCTCCCGGTAGTGTGCTTCTTCAAGTATAAAGATGAAAAACCGACGAGAAAGAATACCCTGCGAAACTACTGTTAAACATGCTTCTGGGAGTCCTTCGGCGCCTGTTTGTCATTGCTCGCCTCGGGCAACGGCTTGCTCTCACAGATAAGAGTCATACCCGGCGCCCCAGCTATGCGCATGTAGGCCAGACGATTCGCCTCAAAGAAAAATAAGGTGGAATTTGTGTCACACGCCAGTTATGTGCAAAGAGAGGCTTTTCGCTTCGGAAAGACTCGAGCCAGTTATCATTAGAACGGAGGGAGCGTGCCTGTGGACAGAGTTGCATCTCGATTGCCATTCTTGACAACATTTTCTCCTTTCATTTTGATACCGTCGAATAGTTCCCCACACCGCGGGTTCTAATCGGACTTCTCAGCAGCATGAACTGTAAATATGGCAACGTATTCCGGTCCATGTGCTGGCTAGAAGGTGAAGACAGCTGTAGCGGGATCTTTGCGTCCGGAAGATAATTCCCCGAGCACTGCAAACCTGGATGACAAGTATTGAGTTGACACGCTTTGCATCCGGGTGCGAAGCAACACACTCGTCCGTTCACCTGGACCTGAAAGTGGACTCATCGTCAAGAGTCTTCATCTTCTCTGTCCAGAGATGCCGCTGACTGGACGTCTCTTCATTACCATTCAGGCTCCCAGAAACATGCCAGGTTTTGGCCTTCGCTGTGTGATATGATGCGATAGACTTCTCCCTGGATTTCGCACCACTAGCTTAGCCATGATTCTGTCGGTATAGAAGATCCATCATTTCACTTACTCGGCGCTTCGCGTATTGCAGTCTCTGCACCCACATACTCTTCTGTTCACCACCCCTTGTGCGAAGCGAGCCCCAAATGTTTGTTCATTCGGATCATGGTAAAGGCAGGCCGACGGACAAACAGAAGGAAAGCATTTGTCCAAGTGATCAAACGTTCAGGAGTACAAGCGAGACACTTTTGATTCTTTTTCTGCGTTCTTTCCGATTATCCTGGACGAACTGGATGGCACGCAGATATACTAACAGAAGAAGCCGAGTGGCCGGGGTATACAAGGTGTCGATTACATGACACAAGAGCCATGTACCCGACTACAATGAACTATCCTTGCCCACTGATGAAAGTCAAGGTGGATTAATAGTTGGTCCGATTACCGAGGCCGACAGACCTCTCATATACGGACACACACACATTCGGTTTAGATAGCCAAGCACTCATTCCATCACCTTTGTGTCTATAGAGATCAATGTTATCCTCCTTGTGTAATTAAAATTCGTCGCCTACAGCCTCGTGCAGTCCGGATAACCGACTCCCCCGACTTCCCCGATACGGAGTTTTAACCGCTACATTGGTTTATCCGTTTCAATCTGCTATGTCGCAGGAAGGTTTCTCCGAATCCGTGAAAATTCTACCGCGATAAGCAAATCCAGGAACCACTCTCGGTACTCGGACCATAAGCGATTAGACAATTCTAGCATATCAGCAAGCAAGGTGACCGGCGGAACCCGCCGCTCAACGGCTCCAGCTGGAGCTAATATAAATCGCAATACCTCCGTCGAAATGAGATTTTTCAGCGCGATTCCGTGTACCCCTCTGCACCAGCACAATGCATCTCCCCTCCCTTAGTACCGGCCTCTTGGCCGTCAGCTCGCTGTTGACTGCCGTCTCTGCCACGCCCGGCCATGGCGTTCAGGTGACTGGCAAGCATAAGATTACTCCCAAAGTCTTTATTGTGTCCATGTTTGCTCCTGAAGCTGAGGCTTGGTGGGGAATTCCCGAGTTCAACCTGCTAGCGCACAACATCACCGTCCCGGGTCTGTCCCCTCTCTTCCCGGATGTCCACTGTACGGCCGACTACAGCGTCTGCCAGCTGGTCACCGGCGAAGGCGAGATCAACGCCGCTGTGACTCTGTCCTCGCTCCTGTTCTCCCCCATCTTCGACCTCACGCACACCTACTTCTTCGTGGCAGGCATTGCCGGTGTCAACCCGAAGGTGACGACGATCAACTCGGCGACTTTTGCGCGGTACGCCGTGCAGGTTGCGCTGCAGTACGAGGTCGACCTGCGCGAACTGCCCGACAACTGGACAACCAGCTACTTCCCGCAGGGCGCCCAGAAGCCATTCGAGTACCCGACCTCGATCTACGGAACCGAAGTGTTTGAGCTGAACGCTGACCTGCGCTCAATCGCGGCCTCGTTTGCTCGTCGCGCGAATCTCTCCGACTCGACCACTGCTCAGGAATACCGTGCCAAGTACACCACCGACAACGAGATCTATGCGGCGGGAACCAAGGCACCGTCCGTGGTGGAATGCGACGTCACCACCACCGATGTGTACTTCAGCGGCAGCTTGCTGAGCGACGCCTTTGACAAGACCACCAGCGTTCTCACCAACGGCACCGGCGTGTACTGCTCGACCGCGCAGGAAGACAACGCGACTCTGGAGGCGTTGCTGCGTGCGGCCAAGCACAACCTCACCGATTTCTCGCGCATCATCGTCATGCGCACAGGATCCGACTTTGAGCGCGGATACGAAGGCCAATCCGCGCTGGACAACCTGTTGTACGCAGAGCAGGGCGCGTTCGAGCCTGCAGTGCAGAACTTGTACAACGCCGGTGTGCAGGTTGTCCAGGGTATCCTGCGCGGGTGGAACACCACCTTCGCTGCGGGCGTCAAGCCCAGCAACTACATCGGTGACATCTTCGGTACCCTGGGTGGCAAGCCGGACTTTGGGCCTGGAAGCGAGCAGGCAAAGGAGGACGCTGGGGCGTTGACCAAGCGCGGGACGGGTCTGACAAAAAGGAGCCGGGGCGTGCGGAGGTAATTGCCTCAGACATGCACATACCAATGTCAACCAGTCCGCAAGGATCTCGTGTAGATAACTCCGCACACTGTACACCAATAATAGTCCATGATATCTGAGTTTATCTGCATATGCATTACCGAGGACATGTTTGTTCCCCAGATAAGCAGTCAAATCCGGGGTACATCTTATCATCATGACACACCGATGTAACCTCCCGCACAGGAAGCTCTTCGCGTGGCCACTCATGATGCGACGTTGTTATCTTGATAGTAACTCTGATAGCAACCGCTGTGTCTATCCTGCACAATGTCTTATAAGATGCCGGGGCCTATGCCTGGTGCTCTAGAAGTAAATTGTCACCATGGCTCCGTATATCCCGGACGATAGCAAAATTGCCAGCCTCGAAGCCAGCAAACAAAACAGCCATGATTCATCTGCACCAGGAGTCGTCGCGGATGTGGTCCAAGTGGTCGACCACCAAGCGGAGCGTGCTCTGTGTCGACGATTCGATCTGCGATTGCTCCCGATACTTGCGTTGATGTGTGAGTTGAGTTGATATCACGAATTCTACACAGGAGTGCTGATTGTGTAGACCTCTTCAACGCTCTCGACAAAGGAAACCTCGGAAATGCAGAAACAGACGGGCTCAGCAAAGATCTCAATTTCAAGCCAAATCAGTACAATCTGCTGCTCTCCATTTTCTTCGTCCCGTATGTGATCTTCGCGCCGCCGCTGGCGATGCTAGGAAAGAAATTCGGACCAGCGAGAGTCCTGCCAATTCTCATGTTCACCTTTGGCTCGTTCACGCTGTTATCTGCTGCGGCGTATAACTTCGGTGGCCTCTTTGCTATTCGCTGGTTTCTGGGAATGGCTGAATCGGCTTTCCTACCGCTGGTCATCTATTACTTGACCACCTTCTACCGACGGAGCGAGCTGGCGCGACGACTAGCGATATTCTACGCAGCATCCAACATCGCCAATGCATTTTCCGGGCTGATCGCATTCGGCGTCTTCCAAATCAAAAACTCCAACATCCCCAACTGGCGATATCTTTTCATCATCGAGGGCGGCGTGACAGTTCTCCTCGCCATCTTCGCCTACTGGTATCTTCCCCGCAGCGCAGCCGAGGCAAAGTTCCTGTCGGAGGAGGAGAAAGCGTTGGCGTTTCATCGTATTCAAGTCGACTCGAGTACGGTCGTTAATGAGCCGTTTCGTTTCCGCGATGCAATCCGCATCTTCCGTCATCCTAGCACCTATGTCTTCCTGTGTCTGGAAATATGCACGGGTGTTCCCATCCAAGCTGTCAACTTGTTTCTGCCTCAGATTGTGCAGCGACTGGGCTTTTCCACTGTCAAGACGAACCTGTACACCGTCGCGCCCAATGTAACCGGGGCTGTCATGTGCGTGATCCTCGCCTTCGCATCAGACTTCACTCGTCTGCGCTCCCCGTTCATCGCACTGGCCTACCTCCTCACCTTCTCTGGCTTCATGATCTATGCGTCCATTGACAACGTCCACACCCAATTGCACGTCGCCTACTTCGCCACCTTCATGATGACCTGGGGCACCTCCGCGCCATCCGTCCTGCTAAGCACATGGTACAACAACAACATCGCGCACGAAGGCCGCCGCGTGCTGCTCACCAGTATCGGCGTTCCACTTGCCAACTTAATGGGCCTGGTCAGTAGTAACGTCTTCCGCAGCGAAGACAAGCCCAAATACCTCCCAGCCTTGATCACGGTGGGTGTGTTTGGAGCGACGGGGGCGATTCTCGCGGGTCTTTTGGGTGGGTATATGTGGATGGATAATGCGAGACGGGATCGCAGGGATGGAGTGAGGGTTCGGGCGCTTGATGTTCCTACTGACAGGTTGAGGGATGGGCCGGCGGGGGCTGAATTTCGGTGGTTTTTGTAGATATCTTCACCCCACCTGTGAACAACTACATACATATATACCTTCCAATTCTTGAATTTATGACATTACTTTTTTCTTCCATGTATGTGGATGGTCGGCTTACTTCGTTCTCTGTACGGAGGAGTGACGCGCACTAGCGGTGAGCTGAATCGGTCCACGCAAGATAAATCATTCAGCCGCACGCTATTGCAGAACTACACACATAATTAGCTCAATAATTCAAAGCTGAAGATGCAAGGCCATATGTCCGAAGAATGCCGCCAACCAAGGAATGTAGTACAACACATACATAAACCTGGGTAACTGCGGGCATACCCGGTATATATCCATCTCACCACGCCTCCGTCACCATGTTTCTGCCAACTATCCTCCTTTCCTCGATTTCAATCCTCAGCCAGATAACGCCCACAATGGCCGCCAACACCGATACCAAGCAACTCTCCCCACTCCCAAAGCCCACCCGCTTCGTCACGGGACACAACTCCGATGCAAAGTCAATTATCCACGCCGAAGATGGTGCTACCTGGACCAAACTCGGCGACGATATGGGCTTCTACGTCCCGTACACCACCTCGAACTTTCCAGTGAGCATGACCAATGGGACGGACATTGAAAAGAACAAGGAAGTCACAACCTCCGGAAAACTTGGGCTGGTCAACCCCGGCGGAACGGTTTGTCGATACGTGGACTTCGCCCCGGGCAACAAGCCCATCATGCATCAGACGGTCAGCTTGGATTACGGCATTGTGCTCGAGGGAGAGATTGAAATGATTTTGGACTCTGGGGAGAAGAAGCTGCTGAAACGCGGGGACATCGCTATCCAACGAGGCACGATGCACGCGTGGAGCAACCCCAGTAAAACAGAGTGGGCAAGACTGCTGTTTGTCCTGCAGGCGAGTGAGAACGTTGCCATTGATGGAAAGGAGTTGAAGGAGGATATCCCATCGGAGGCACATATCCAGCCAAGTCAGTGATCTCGTTCAGACTATGTACGTAGGTTATATTATACAGTGATGACAACCTTGCCAAAGTGGCTTCCGCTATACAAGAAGTTAAAGGCCTCCTTGGCCTGATCAAAGGAAAACGCCCGGTTCACCACGGGCCGAATCTGGTGCTTCTCGTAGAATTTCATCATCTCCTCGAACCGGTCCTTGGGCCCGTTGATGATACCCTTGAGGGTCACGTTTCTCCGCAATGCAAGCACGTTGACGTTCGTGCGGTCCTCCGGCTCATCCACCTTGCCAGACAGATAGCCAATGCAGTCGATAAGACCACCAAAGGCAATGCAATCAAAGCTCTTTTTCAATGTTTTTGCGCCACCAGTCTCGAGAACAATATCCGCGCCGTGGTTGTTGGTCACCTCCATCACGGTCTTTTCCCAGTCGGGGTTTGTACGGTAGTTGATCGTGTAGTCGGCGCCGAGCTCCTTTGCCTGCGCGAGTTTCTCGTCGGAGGACGAAGTAATAATCACTGTCACTCAGCATCAGTATCCCCTGGTAGGCCTCGTGTAAGCAGAAGTGACGCACCCTTAGCCCCCGAAGCCTTCGCAATTTGTAACCCAGCAATCGAAACACCACCCGTTCCCTGCAGCAGCATATACTCCCCCGCACCACCATCCTGTCCCATCGGCCTCATCCCGTTAATCGACATCCAAGCGGTAACCGGCGCAATCGGCAACGTCGCCGCCTCCGCGTCACTCAGGTACTCCGGTGCCTTCACCAGTCCACACGCAGGGAACACCCTATGCGACGCCAAAACACCGTCCAACGGCAGTCCCAGTCCCGACGCGAGTTCCTTCTCAGTGACCTGACCGGTCAGGTGATCGGGGAGGAAGGGAGAGAGCACACGGTCGCCGGTCTTGAGGGTCGTCACGCCGTCGCCGACCTGAATAACTACTCCGCACGAATCCGAGCAGGGGACGATGGACTCATCCTGGCCAATGGATTTGTGATGGGTGTATTCGCCATTGCAGACTGCTTCAGTCAGATCACATCCCTGTCCCTGCTTACGGGGCAATCGATTGCTTACCTTCCGTGTCACGGTAGTTCAGCGAGACAGCGCGGATCTCCACGAGGACCTCGCCTTTGCCGGGAGTGGGGATGGTGCCTTCTTGGAGGTGCAGCGTGTCGAGACCCTTCAAGGTTGTCACCCACTTTTTGACGGACATGATGCTGGATAGTACCTTTCAATTGTACTCTGAGTATGTTTAGAAAAGGAAAATAACAATTGAGGACATGCTGGTCATGGTTGAAAACAATTAATAATGTCGGTGCCCCACTAAACCAGAAAGGACATGATTCATGCTTCAAGGTGGAGAGGACGTTTAGGCTAGTCATGCTCAACTATATCAAAGAAATGCGAAATGGACCCTCCCCTGTTTTCTCATGACATGTGCCCGCGTCTCATACATCATCTCCTCCTCGCACACCCGGGCTTGTTCCAACTTGTCGCATTCCTTTCTATCGACATATTCCCAGGGCTTCTCCATCACCTCCCAATCATTAAGCCGGCTTTGGTCCCACATCACATACGCCCATCGTCGTAGCGGTGCCTGGGAAGGAGAGAAGATGAATTCACTACTCGGCTGCCAATGGTGTGCCCAGCGCCACACAATTTCCGGTCCATGATCGGGATCCGGATAACACGGTTTGGGAATGAATTCTTCTTCATCGCCGGGCTCAAGTTCTGCCAGAGGAAGCCATCCTAAAAATGCAGATTCTCTTAGACCTTCAGTGAGGAAAAACGGATGGCTGTCTTTAGCAGCATCGCGGGAAAGGAGATTACGGCGTGCTTCGGGGGTTTTTGCTTCCGCAAAATGACGAATATGGTTGAGGCCGAGGGACATATGATACTGTTGACACCCTCTATCTGATGCATTGCTCACGACTGCAAGGAAGTGGACCCAGTCTGGATCACTCTCTCCCACCTCCTGTAATGCTATTCAACTTGGTTAGACTTGAATGGAGCGTGAAGCTGGAGTAGATCATACCTGAATCAAGAATTTCGAATAAATAATCATAGATGCAAGCAAGGTTGTTCATTCTCCCACGGGGCAAAGCGAGCAAAGTATTTTCTCTGCTGGCTTACATCTGAATCAAAGGGAGGACTATTCCTGTCTCCAAACAGGTGGCAATACGTCTGAAACCGGTAAAGATTGCGACTGATGCGATTTCTCTCGTTCCGTGACAGGTCTTGTTTGCCAGTCAGGACCTTAGAGGTCAAATCAACCAGAAAGAAGTTAACATGGTCGTAGAGCCGGGCTAAACGAAGAGCCTGAGAGAGTTTCCATCGCAAAGACGAATGAAATGGCAATTGATCCTAGGCCACGTATTGCGCAATGAAGCCCAGGGTCCTTCCTTTCGCGATGATACGTCTGCAGCCGAGGCGCCATGCAGAAGCTCTGGATGAATTTGCTGTAATAGGATTTTCTCTGTTATTTGTGTTTCGATAAGCTTGAAGGCAAGGTAAAGACGAGGACCTGTCAGCACAGCGCACACCAAGGATTGGATATCAGGAATTTCGGCCAAAATCCCTTGAATCAACTCCAAGGGGAGATTCTCCAGCTTGCCTTCCACCACCTCACCATGCATGTTGTCAAAGCGGAAGCCTTTGATTCTGTTCTCGACGGATTGCTTCAATGAATAGTGCCGTTGACAAGGATACATTTTATGTTGGCGAAGGTGAGAGTCAATCAGTGAGTGAGTGAGTGAGATGGTGGGGAAATGGGGCGAGTGATAGTTAACTACGGCGGCCAGTCTGAAAAACAATTCATTAATGCATATGCACCATGCCACTCGTCCGGTGCCCCGGAATGGAAGAATATTGGTAAATTGTCGCTTCAATGTTGGTATTTGATCTAAGGCCTCTTTCTAGTCCTATTTTCGATTGCGTGCATGCAGCAAGTGCTGTAATGGGATCTTAAGAGCCAATTGATGCAGCAATGAGACTATATTCGTCCAGCAAGAGCAAATCACCGCCATTCAACACAGTGGTGAGACTGAAATGCCTCGCTCGCACTGTCAATACCGGTCATTGAGGTTCAAGATGGTCTATATATACCCCAGTGGCGTGTCCATTTCTGCTCTCGATTGATCATCCAACCCTCGTATTCAATCTCATCGTGAACGGCCACTGTTCTTTTGATCAATCCATTCTTGACTAATACCGGTATTCTCTGCATTCACCATGTCTGCAGATGGGTTCAACTGGAAAGGCGACAAGATCTACTATGGTGATACGGAAATCAAAAAAGATTCTACCTCGACAAGCAACAAGAATATCCAACCGGGCTCGGTGCTTTCTGCATTTGAAAGCGCTAAAATGGAGTGACAGCGTGTACTTCCTCTTGCAGTTGGATACCTCAGATGAAGCTATGTCTAAAGTAGAGTAAAAGTACACTGTAGAAGTGCCTGACAGTCAACCTTACTGGGGCAGAATCATGTGATTGACACCGGATCTACACCCTTATCTCCGTTGTCGCATTGCAACATAAACAACTCCCAACACCATCCCAACAACAACTACAACGCCCATCGAAATGGAAGAACAGCATCAGAAGAACCCTCCATCACAAGAGAAACTATCCCCAGACTCAACCAGTATGTACATAACAATCAAACCAACGGCAAACATGCTGCTAACCATCCAGCTACCGATGCGCCGCAGATAATCGCCCATCGAGGCTTCAAGCGAAAATACCCCGAGAACTCCCTATCCTCGTTCAGAGGCGCTGTCGAGGCAGACAGTAATGCGATCGAGTTGGACCTGGCGTTGTCTATGGACAATGTTGTGGTGATATCCCACGTTCGTCAACTAGGCATCTACATATCGCGACAGTGTACACTGTACTAACGAGGACAGGATGCCTCAATGAAACGCTGCTTCGGGGTGAACAAACAAGTCGCCAAGTGCGATTACGAGTACCTGAAAACCGTGACCATGATCCAGGAACCGCATGAGCCGGTTCCACGGTTATACGAACTACTCCAATATCTGGCGCAACCGGAGGCGGCGCATATTTGGGCTTTTCTTGATGTCAAGGTATCTCCACCTACTTCTCCTGAATTTATGGAATAGTGTACTAACATGGAAAGCTCACAAACGACCCCGTCGCGATAATCCCGCAAATCGCCAAAACCATCGCGTCCGTCCCCCCCGCAGAGAACAAACCATGGCACACCCGCCTCATCCTCGGCGCCTGGTCTTCAGCCTTTATACCCCAGTGCATCACCCATCTTCCAGAATTCCCGTTATCGCTCGTTTGTTTCGATCTTCACGCCGCGCGTCGTTTCTTTCCCCTCCCGAATCTCGTGGCCTACAATGTCAATCAACAGGTACTGATGGGTCCATTGGGACGGGGGTTCTTGGAGGATGCGCACAAGGCAGGAAAGAAAGTGTTTGTCTGGACACCTAACGACGAAAGCGCTATTCAGTGGTGTATCCGGAAACGCGTCGATGGCGTGGTCACCGATGATCCCGAGCTATGTCGGCAGCTCGTAGGCACGACGGACCCGTCTGCTGGATCGGACGCGATCACATTTAGCCAGAAGACCGAGATTCTGACCATTTCACTACTAGTTGCGCTGTTTGGGTGGTTGTTCAGACTCAAGTTCCTGCCCAAGGTGAAGGTTGACGCACCACCGAAGGCCAAACCGCCTTCTGTGCATTGATCATGAATACGGAAGAGTACAGAGTATATTTGGATAGATAGACATTGCTCCATTAACTATTACCCATGCCAACCTGACCTTTTGTCTAATCGCCGCCGTTGGACCTGTACATAATACCCAAACATTACCGACATTATATACAATAGAAGGCATGGTATACATCAGATTGAAACACTTCAACCAAACGCGTGCAAAAATAAAAGAAATGGGTATACATGCACGAAAGTAACTCCACTAGGAAGGTGTGTCAAAAAAGAAATGAAAACTGATGTACCGGATCAGTTAAAAAGCGTAAGAAAAAAGAAAGTCGCCATGGACAGTAGAAAGAAATAAAAGACTTGGTCAAATGGTCGGAAATGAAATCATATCATCATCAGCCTGGTCGTCCTCCGCTCAGGGAACCGCTTCGCACCAGGCGGAGGTCCATACGCAGGACCGTACGCAGGACCAAACGCACCAGGAGGTCCCAGCATATCAGGGCCCATAGGAGGACCCATAGGCGGAGGCGGACGTCGTCCGGGGCCAGGCGGGAAGGGAGGACGGCCCATCGGACCCGGACCAGGACCCATTGGACCAGGGGGTCCGTACGGATCAGGCGGTCTTGACAATGGCGACGAGGGCATTGTTGGACGGCGGAATCGAGGCGGCGGCACGGAAGCTGCTGCTCTGCGGGAGTCGCGCTCACAGTAGACTTGACCGTTCCATTCGAAGTATTCGCCCTTGAGGTTGACGTTGCAGGTGCGACAGGTGAGACAGTCGGGGTGGAACTTGCGGCGGTCGCTGGGCCCGCGGCCCATTCGTTCGTCGGTTTCGAGATATTGGCCCTCGATACCTGCGTTACATGTGCTGCACAGCGAGCCGTTCAGCTCGTGGTAGTGCTGGGCGCAGTAGGGCTTGTTCTGGAGGACGTAAAAGTCTGCTGTCTGGAACGGAATGTGGCAGTAGCAGCACGCGAAGCAATCGCGGTGGTAACGGCCTGTGAGTCTACCATCTGCCGATGAGACTGACTTGCCAAAGATGGCCTCGCCGCATCCACGGCAGCGGCCCTTGGAGCGTGGGGCACGAGGTGGAGCGAGTGCAATGGCCTCCGGGCGTTCCTTTGCTGGTGATACTGGTGATTGTTCGTCTGAGGGGGACTCGACGGAGTTCTCAGAACGCGGAGACTGTTGATCGGTAACAAGAGATAAGCTGCCTTGAGAGAGAGCCGGGTCGGTGGGTGAATCCGGTGGCTGAAGGAAATTAGAGAGCTTTGGCGGTTCGAGAGGACTGCCCGATTGAGAGGCGTCTTCCAACATCGGGAACGGAGATCTCGGAGATGGTTGGTCGTAGTGGTTCTGGTTCTCCTCGACAACTGGCCCGAGTCTGCTAGCTTCTGATGCCTTGCGTCGCGATAAGCTCGTTTCTGATGGGAGGCTGGACAGAGAAGTTCCGCTTCGTGATTCAGACGGCGAGAACTCTGAAGAGACCGTGGAGCTCTCTGTAGAATGTCCTGCATCGTCCAATCCCAGCGCACGGGCAAAGTTCGACACGGAATTGCCCCCTTCACTGGCGTCGGAGTTTTTCCTCCGGTTGCCTTCGTCAATTGAAAGGTTATTCGGGTGCAGGTAGTGGTTGGAACCCGAAGGTTGACGTGCGCCATGATATTGGGCGGTGAATGGTTCCCTAGAATCGCGGAATCTGTCGACGGACGGTGCAGGGGAGTGCGAGCTTTGGGATGGTGACCGCTGCGAATAGGGTTGTCCAGACCGGCTGTCGGAGTGGGAGTGAAAAGAAGAGAGATCCAACTGCTCACTATCGCTGGGACGATGGATTGCGGCCTCGCGATTGCTCTTCTCTGAAATTCCAAAGTCAAACCTACTGTATGACGAATCATGCTGCTCATTATGGTATGTGGTGTCTTCCTCCCCGAACCCCTGATGCGTTGGCGTTGGGTTCTCGGTTAATGTCTCGAGAGGCGCGGATCTCGAAAGTCCATCGTCAAAGAACGCCTGCGGATCGCGAGCAATGCTTCCAAACGATGGTCGTCGACTGGACATCATTGTTGACCGCTTCGACCCATTGTCGTACTTGATGCTTGCCGTCCCATAGCTGCTCCTGCTATCCAGTGAATCGCCGCGCCTGTGGAAGAAATCCGGGAGCGGTGCCACATCGTCAGCAATATCGTCTGCGAAATCTTCATCCTTTGGTAATGGCGGCGGTGGTGGCAGAGAACGTTCTCTATCGATGGGAGCTGGCCGTGCGCTCATGGGTCCTTGATCCATATCCCCATAAGGAGAGTGTGGGATTGAAATCGGCGGTGCTGAGCCTAGAGGTTGCATATTGGCCAGGGCACCAGGTCGTCGGTTAGACATTGAACGAGGTAGCGGGAATGCTGGGATGCCTTTGCCCCAGTCAGGCGATGGTGGTTCAGAAGGGATTGGTATTGTGTTGCTTCGCTGTATGCCATAGGGAGGGCTTTGGTTTGAGTTGGAAGTATCATCATCGTTGCTTCCTGTTGCTTGCAAAAACGGACGATCTGGACTGTGTCAACCAACTGGCATAACAAGAGAACCTTGATTTCACTTACTGGCCATTAAAGGATCTATCCGCGGTAATGGTTTCTCCCATGAATACCCTGGCGGGGGAGTAGGGTCAGATTTCGGAGGAGGTGCTGGGGGCGTTGGTGAGGATCCTTGGTCTATACGATCAGTACCTATACAACGACAGAAGCAAAGATAGATGAAGGAGGGGATTACCATGGCAGACATGATCCCCCATGGCAGAAATATCGACACCAATGCCGCAATTAGAGCATTTTATTGTGGGCAGCACGCCCGCATCGACGACAGCCATGTCGTCGACTGGCACTGAAAAATGTGACGTCTCTTAAAAGTATACTAACTATAGTCGATGCATGAAGAGTGACATCTGCCAGGGGTGTGTTTGATCTGTCCGACAGGCCGGGGCCCTCCTCGCGTCTAGGCGTTTCTGCAGCCAATCGATAGCTATGCGACTGATCTTAATATGAAGCGTTATGTCTGGGGAGTGGGATATTGAAGAATAAAAGTAGTATTGGAACAGTTGTGATAGTTATGAGAGAAAAAAGAAAGAGAATACCGCTGGATAGACGATAAGAACTGCGAGTGGAGACGATGGTGCAAAAGACACCATAGAGTCAAGGCCCTCTTGTGGACAGGTGACGATCAAGGAAAAGACAGTGTCTCCAACACGCGTTCTGCGGTATTATTAGTGGGATTTGGGGCCTTGTGAGGGACGCTGTGGTGGTTAAAGATGGATAGGATTTTCTATTCGGGGCATTCGACAATGCGCCGCCACCAATGCCAATAGATACACAGGGGAAATTTCCATTCTCTTTTAGGTGACAGGGGATCTCCCCAAGTTGATCGGGTAGAACTGTTTCTCCAATGATTCCATTGCTGACTGCTGTTGACGCACTTTGTCTCTGTGAACTCTTGAATACGGGAGGCGCAAAAACCCCTGAGACGGACCGAAGATCTTCAATGCGGTTCAGGGGGAGCCCGTTCCAACTTTCCACTCCGCGTGCGATTGGTGTTGATTGGTTTATTAGGGCGATGAGGACTCCATTGAGAGAACCTTGGGCGGTTTTTCTTTTTCTTTTCTTTTTTTTTTTCCCTCCAAAAATATGCTCCTAGTTTGTTGTTGTCTCTGGCGCAGTGACATGGTTTCAATGCATGCCATTTTTCTTTCTCGGAGTTGTTGACACCCACCCAATCAGATTGTCGGTCATGCCGTGTCGGAGAGACAGCGTCCTCTGCATCCATATGGGGTACAGTAGCGCATGTCGACGCTGGTTAGTGTTGACCCATTCCGACTCCGTCGTCGCATTCCAAGCGGAGTGGACAGGAGAACTCGCGCAGACTGTAGTAATCTCCGTGCACCGGCCAGATTTCTGGAACTGTCCTTGGCGGGCACCAACCCGGACTGACATCACACTTTGTGCGATTCATTTTTGATGCCCCTGTGTCCTGACCTGACTCCGTACTCAGTACGGGTTTGCTTTGCGTCTGTACACAACCTCCATCCTCCGCTCCGTACTTTGACCGAAAGATCCCGTTTTCGGATCGTCATGGTCCTCCGCGTCCACAATCCACTCCACAGAAAGCAACCACGGGCCAATTGGGGATGAGATGCGCGTATGGCGCATTGTGTGATTGCAGTGTGCCGTCTTCAGCACATCCTAGCTGTGGTGCAGGTACGAAGTACAGGTCCTCATGTTCCTGCATCGATATCACAGGCACAGCATTTTAAGCGAAGAATCCGAAACCGATATAAAGTTCAATAGTCGTAGCTCCCGATTCATTTTCACATCGTTCCTTGAACAGCCACAAAGTCAATAGTCAGCGGACCAGCACGGTCCATGGAACCCCAGCCGGGGCATTCCGTGTACTCCGTACACCGCAAGAGATAGTTAACTAGTCATGTAGTTAACTAACTAGTTACCTATATGATTGAGGCACCAAGGCATTCAGGCAGAGATTCCGGCAACCCAGGACCCCGGTTTCATGCCGGCCCCTCGTGGGGGATCCGACCGTTGGCAGGTGCACAGTATCGGAGATCATAACTGTGTGTACAGGTACTTGTGCAGAGTACTTGTACTTGTATACTCAAGTAGCAATCAACATGGTGGCTATAAAAGTCTAGATCACAAATCAGATGACCATAACGATGAAGTGTCCTTTCTAAACTAATTCACCGAGTTGCGGTGACACCTATTCAGCTGCCTGGTTGTTATTCACTGTCCGCCGGAGCATCACGGGACTGTCTGCCAGGGCTTACTTAAACAGCCGCTTTCCTCTTGCTGTCCTTTTCTCTTCTTCTCTTTCTCTCTTCATCCCATCTTCTACCTCTACTCAAGCTCAATTGCTCGTCTACGCTCGATCACTCGTCCTTGAGGTGGTCAACAACCGTCACCATTTTCTCCACACTTCTTAACTCGTGAGTATCTCTATATATACATGTCTTCTATACAGTATACTAACCCTCCAGGCGTCACCACCCGTTCAACGGCCGGCGCTCATCCACCCGTGGAGGAGCATCGGACGAATTATTCTACACTCAGTAAACGAATTCGTCTACTCGTAATATCAAATCTGCAACGATGGCTCCCCACGCTAACTCGGATGTGGCCAACGGCGCCGTGAACGGGTCGGTTTCCAACGCTCCTCTGTTTACCGTCAACTCTCCCAATGTGGTCTACACCGACAATGAAATCAAGAGTCAGTACGCTTACCACACCACCGACATCTCTCGCACCCCCGACAACAAGCTTGTTGCTACCCCCAAGGCCACCAACTACAACTTCAAGGTGGACCGTAAGGTGGGCAAGGTCGGTGTCATGCTCGTCGGTTGGGGTGGAAACAACGGTTCCACGGTGACGGCTGGTATCATTGCCAACCGTGATCGTCTCGTCTGGGAAACTCGCGAGCGCTCTCAAGCCGCCAACTACTATGGCTCCGTTGTCATGAGCTCGACCGTCAAGTTGGGTACTGACGCCAAGACTGGTGAGGAGGTCAACGTTCCGTTCCATGACATGTTGCCCATGGCCCACCCCAATGATCTCGTCGTTGGTGGCTGGGATATTAGCAGCATGAACTTGGCCGACTCTATGGACCGCGCTCAGGTACTCGAGCCGGGTCTCAAGCAGCTGGTCCGCAAGGAAATGTCTACCATGAAGCCGCTGCCCAGTATCTACTACCCTGATTTCATTGCCTCCAACCAGGAGGACCGTGCCGACAATGTCATTGAGGGTGACAAGGCTTGCTGGGCTCACGTCGAGCGCATCCAGAAGGACATTCGGTAAGTAGCTATCCTACAAGTTTTTGAGGTCTGTGCTAACCTTCACAGCGAATTCAAGTCTCAGAACGGTCTGGACAAGGTCATTATCATGTGGACTGCCAATACCGAGCGTTACGCTGACATGGTACCCGGCGTCAACGACACGGCTGAGAACCTGCTCGAAGCCATCAAGACCGGACACCTCGAGGTGGCTCCATCCACCATCTTTGCGGTTGCGTCCATCTTGGAGGATGTTCCTTTCATCAACGGATCTCCCCAGAACACCTTTGTCCCCGGTGCCTTGGACTTGGCGGAGAAGCGTGGAGCGTTCATTGGCGGTGACGACTTCAAGTCGGGCCAGACCAAGATGAAGTCGGCTCTGGTGGACTTTTTGATCAACGCTGGTATCAAGCTCACCTCGATTGCCAGCTACAACCACCTGGGCAACAACGACGGCAAGAACCTGAGCTCCCAGAAGCAGTTCCGCTCCAAGGAGATTTCCAAGTCGAACGTTGTCGACGACATGGTTGCGGCCAACAAGCTGTTGTACGCCGAGGATGAGCATCCCGATCACACCGTGGTTATCAAGTACATGCCGTCCGTTGGTGACAACAAACGTGCTCTGGACGAGTACTATGCGGAGATCTTCATGGGCGGTCACCAGACCATCAGTTTGTTCAACATCTGCGAGGACTCGTTGCTGGCCTCTCCGTTGATCATCGACCTTGTGTTGATTACGGATATTATGACCCGCATTGGCTGGAAAACTGATGAGACGGCCGATTACAAGGGCTTCCACAGTATTCTGAGCGTCCTCAGCTACATGCTCAAGGCTCCTTTGACTCCTCCTGGTACTCCGGTTGTCAATGCTCTGGGCAAGCAGCGTAATGCTTTGATCAACATCTTCCGTGCTTGCGTTGGTTTGCAGCCTGAATCGGACATGACACTTGAGCACAAGCTGTTTTAGCTGGTTTACTCGGTACCGACCTTTACTTTGATTATCTGCGCTTGATGCTAGCATTTCCAACTTAGTCACTCATTCATGCAATAAATTGACTTATGCTCAAATACCATCGTACTACTTAGTCTGACCCAACTGGGAGTAAGCGTTCAAAGCCAACTGCCCACCCAGATGAGCATACAAAACATTGCCCTGGATCTCGCCCTTCCGGATCATATCCACCATACCCGCGAAACTCTTACCCTCGTAGACAGGGTCCGTGATAAACGCCTCCATCCGAGCAGCATACTCCATAGCCTCCCAAGTCTGCTTATCCGGAATCCCATAAGTCCCCGCATGATACCGCTCGTCCAGAATAACATCCTCCTCGGTAATATCCCCCTCCTCCAAGCCAATCTTGACCGCAGTATTCCTCGCAATCCTCAACACCTGCGCCTTGGTCTGCTCCGGCGTCGCAGACCCATCAATCCCGATGACCTTCTTCTTCGCCAACCCAGGCTCAAGCTTCTCAACCAGCTTGAAACCAGCAATCATCCCGGCAAACGTCGACCCCGTCACCGCACACACAATCACAGTCCCGAACTCAACACCCATCTCCCTCTCCTGCTGCCTCACTTCAAACGCCCACCGCGCGAAACCAAGCCCACCAAGCGGATGATCCGACGCCCCGGCAGGAATATAATACGGCTTCCCACCATTTTTCTCAATCTCCTCAGTAACCCCCTTAACAGTCCCTTTATGTTGAATACCAAACCCCTCCTCGCGCTCAAGTCTAATATCAGCACCCATAAGCCGACTCAACTGAATATTCCCCACAGATTCATAACCCTGGTCCTCCCAATCAACCCACTTCTCCTGCACGAGCGCAGCTTTCAATCCAGATCTAGCAGCGACCGCAGCAACCTGTCTCGTATGATTACTCTGCACGCCGCCGATAGACACGAGTGTATCTGCTGAGTGGGACAGGGCGTCGGCGAGGAGATACTCGAGTTTGCGGGTTTTATTGCCGCCGTGGGCGTAGGCGGAGTTGAGGTCGTCGCGTTTGGCGTAGATTGTTGCAGCGCCACCTAGGTCGAGTGAGATGCGGGGGAGGGGGTGGATTGGGGAGGGGCCGAGGAGGAGGGGGGTTCGGGGGATTGAGGAGAGGGGGGATGGGAGTTGTAGTTCCATTGTATCGTATCGTAGGGGAGAGTAGTGTGTAAGTGTGTATGATTGTAGGGTTGATAGGATAGAGGTTGATTGATTGATTAGATCTGTATACTGAGTTAACCTGTTTATATAGTTCTTAGTTGTGTAGGTAGGGCATTCGGAAGTTATCCGTGATAGAGGAGATATGAGGGGCTGAGGGGATATCATATCATATCTATATCTACAGGGGATCTATCTATCTGCTCATGTGTCATGAGTACGGTCAGATATCAACCGGAGTCAGTTCAGTACTCCAGCCGGAATGTAGATTGCTTCGGAGAGTACGGAGTAACTCGAGGTGACGCCGGAAAGGCCACAAAACATGGTGGCTTTCAAACACAGCTTCCAACGTTTCTTCCTCTTCTCTTTCTTTGGTGTCACAACACTGCCTCCGTACCTAAGGTTTCTAGTTAGTATGTCTCGAGGTGGAGGCTCACCTAGTGTCCATTCAGATGCCTCGTGTTATGGGGTTCTCGTGCGAACCCACAGGATGATGGTTTGGCCAAGGCCAGCACAGTGAGGAATTCCTACCAGTGCTTTATTAACGAGATTGATCGCGAGAAACTAAACTAATTTCACGAGGAGCACCTTATATATCCTTTCCTATCATATCGTTCGTTATACCATCTTGGTGGTATACTTGGTGGTCGCTATCATACCGGTCGTCATATCGTTACTGCGGTATACCTGACGGTAGAATATCAAGTGAGGCCGCATAACTAACTAATACAACTCGATTTGTACTACTCGGCCTACATTGCTAGGGGTATAAGCTTTTTCTTTTTCTCCCATACCTTTACCTTAATGGAAGTGTATGCTCATTCTCTGCATGGAAATTCACATGCGCCTGATCTCTCAGGGAAGGGTGGCACGGCCTCAATGCGGTGAACAAGCAGATGTTATAGCAGTACAAAAACCTCCTCTTTCCCTCGTCTTTCTTCAAATCCCCATCTATATTCTTATTTCCAACATTTTCCTTAATACAAGCTCTCTCATCCAAACATGGCCCGAGTTAGTGACCACGCTCTTAGCTATTACTCGCCCTCGCATCCCTCCTTATTGGTCGACGCCTCCGGTATGCATGTTGATGAAGATGGCTTCCTGCAGTCCAGGCAGAGGGCCGGTGGGCCATATCTGTGTTCTCTACCGGCAAACCGAGAGCTCCTTGAAGTAGGGTTTATATATAAGCATACACCGGAAAATGTTACGAACGTTAGAGAAAAAACGGCCCAGATTCTGGCCAGCGCAGAAATTAACTACACCGAAATCGCCATCACTGGCCGCCGTTCCCAAGTGGACAGCGAATCTAGCCCAGTGCTAACGGTTCTTATTGTTACAAAAGGAGGCTCCCAGCGTGAAAAATGGCGCGATGTCACGAAACAGGTCACCCATGCCATTTCTGGTGATCTGCATGATGATTTTTCTGTCGAGCTGATTGATGAGATCCTCCATCAACAATTTAACACTTCTCCTGTCTTGAAGACCGACAGCATCTACTCCGTACGTGATAAGGTTTGTGGTAGCATTCTTGAAGAGCTTAATCTCCCAGATCCAAGGTGTGTAGGATGTTACCGGTATGGACCAAGCATCAGGAGGGAGGAAAACCCTCCCATAATTATCGTGGGTATCCGGGATAAGACAACGAGAAGCTTCCATGATGATAATAAGAAGGTTCAGGGCATTCTTGAATGCTTTGGAGTCACAGATACATCAGTCCTTTTCCGCAAGGAGTCATCCTGAGGGGTCCGAAAAGACCGGAATTAAGATACAAACCTGGGCCATTCTGATTGCCTTGGATTCGTCTACTAGCTTTAATTCAATATAAAACTTGCTTTGGATCTATACAAGGGTCCATCATATCAATGTTCAGAATGGCTGCTGCCGTAAAATGGATGAGGCTTGTCTTCAATAGCTGCGAGGGTGTTAAGGGCCAGGCCCAGAAATGCTAATGATTAGCTTTGGCACAAGAGATTTCGTTAAAGAAGAGAGGAACAAATGCCCGGTCGGGCGGCTCTATATACATTGACTATCTTGTTGACGATCCTTAACCGACCGTCTTTCGACACTAGGTATCATAGTAACCGAGTAGAGTGTACTTGTAAGTACGTGGAGAAGTACGAATGAGGTGGATGGTCGAGTGCAAGGTCCCCCGTGAGGACCTTGTGTCTCTTCATATACAGTTTATAAGCACTTGCTCCGGATAGTCTTGAATTCAATCATATTCATCATCATAACTTTTCAATAACGCGATTACGACATGTCAACAACACAACGAACACAGTCTCCCTCCTTCATCTGCTCGAATGCCCCGTTAATGTTGCTCAGAGACTGACGGTGAGTGATGAATTCGTCAACCATCAGCTGGCCGTTCAGGTAGTCGTCGACCAAACCGGGCAGCTGGCTACGTCCCTTGATACCTCCGAAAGCGCATCCCTTCCACACACGGCCGGTGACGAGTTGGAAAGCTACATCATTAGCAGGGTCTTTCAAAGTCTTGAGAAATATGGAGGGCTTACGTCTCGTGGAAATCTCTTGACCAGCAGCAGCAACACCAATGACAATGCTCTCACCCCAGCCCTTGTGGCAGGCTTCAAGAGCAGCACGCATGACACCAACGTTACCAGTGCAGTCAAAGGTGTAATCGCAGCCACCGTCGGTCATGTCGATTAGTTGTTCCTGGATGGTCTTGCCGTTGAGCTTGGTGGGGTTGACAAATTCAGTGGCACCGAACTTGCGAGCCCAGGCCTCCTTGCCGTCGTTGACATCAACGACGATGATCTTGCTGGCCTTGTTCTTGACAGCACCCTGGATGACTGACAGACCGACACATCCAGCACCGAAGACAGCAATGTTCGAGCCCTCCTCAACACCAGCAGTCACAACAGCAGCACCGTAACCGGTGGTGATACCGCATCCCAGCAGACACGAGCGGTCGGTCGAGATCTTGGGGGTGACAGCCACAACCGAGATATCGGCGACGACAGTGTACTGGGAGAAGGTAGAGGTACCCATGAAGTGCAGGATGTCCTGGCCACGGGCCTTGAACCGCGAGGTGCCATCAGGCATCACACCCTTACCCTGGGTAGCGCGGATCTTGCCGCAGAGGTTGGTCTTGCCGGACTTGCAGAACTTGCATTCACGGCATTCGGGGGTGTATAGGGCGACGACATAGTCACCGGGCTTGACGGAGGTGACGCCCTCGCCGACGGATTCGACGACACCGGCACCTTCGTGACCGAGGACGATGGGGAAGGCACCTTCGGGGTCTTTGCCGGAGAGAGTGTAGGCGTCTGTCCAGTCAGTACCCTCTCTTCCTCCTATCCTTGGTGTGGGTCATACCTGTGTGGCAGACACCAGTGTGGTGAATCTGAATGCGGACCTCGTTGGTCTTGGGGGGAGCGACCTCGACATCTTCGATGGAAAGGGGTTCACCAGCGCCCCAAGCGATGGCGGCCTGTACTATGAGTATGTATTCTGAGAGATATGCGATCGTGAGCTTACTTTGCAGGTGATGGTCTATCGAGCAGTTAGCAACATAATTCTGACTGTGACAATTGGGTGCCTTACCTGTCCGACGGTGCTGGCCATTTTGATAGAATTGAGAACAAGAAACGAAGGGTATAAAAAGAGAAGAAAAGAATAAAATACAGAAAAGGTTGAATATTGGATGACGAGCGAGACCCGCGGATTTAAAAGCGTGCGGGAAGTGGAGGAGGGGAGGGGTGAGGGGCAGTACTACTGTAAAACCCCGTTATAAGCAACTATTTCGGCAGGTCGCGGAAATTGCTTATAACGGAGTATTGCTTATATCGGATTATACGAGCTTGCTGCCATAAATATATATATAGACGTCATCTAATTACAAAAGAAGTCTCGTATATCACTCTGCTGCTGTCTGCTAACCTTCTTTCTCAAAAGGGTCCTCTCATGGAAGAGAAGTTGCTGGATTAAGGCCTTATTTCCATCCACCTGCTGCTCCTCGAAAAGCCGGAGTTTATATAGACTCTCCAAAGCATCTGTTATAGATATCTGTGGAAGAGACTCATAGTTTTCTTCCTCTTCCTCCTCTTCTTCTGGCATGCTTGCAGATGAAAACT